GAGGTGTCTTTCTCTTGATTCTGGAAATCAAAATGAAATGAAAGCTGAGCTGCGAAAAACTTTGCTTTGATGAAAGCGGAAAAGAGGAAGCACCACACTTTAACCGTTAGGTGGAAGACAATCAGAAAACGCACAAACACAAACACACACCCATACCCACAAGCTGAGAAGGACATACTTTCACACACACACACATGCGAATGGGCTGCGCTTTTGAGTTGCAGTGAAGCGGAACGAGCGCAACGACCGTTAGCAAAAGTAAAAGCGCCAGCAAAAAGGATACACGGTAAGCGAGTGAAAGAGAAAAAGAGTCAGACAGAGATAGAGAGAGAGAGAGAAAGTCATATAGAGTGGAAGCGACCGACTTAAGCGACTTACTTTGTCTATTTTATTGGACAAAAGCCTTCGCTGACGCGCAACAGTTTTATCTCCATCTCTATCTTTATTTTTATTTTCATTTTTATTTTCATTTTCATTGTATTGTAGTTTATGGGACGAGGCAGCGAACTGTGCCGTTAAAGCTCCTTACCTCCCCACCCACCCATCACTTATTAATTAGAGCACAAGGACTCGTGGAGTGGCACGCATATTTTGATTTTTTTCGCTGAATCTTATAAATATCATGTATGCTGGAGCGATGGCAGGACGAAGCATTAAATATATATGGCATGCATATATCCGGCACTGGTACAGGAGGTGGTGCCTCTGAGAGCACCAGAGCACCTCCCACCTGTGGCATCCATTTGGCAATGCGGAATAATTATTTCATGCGCGTTGTTTGCATTGGGAATAGCCAAACTCCACTGGACCGCACGAGAGGTAAAGAAAAGGGACAAGGACTTGGGGCCAGGAGGGACAGGATACTTACTATCCACTGCGTTAAAGTTTCCTATGTGTGAGTGTTGGGTAGCCACAGAATCTTTTACATGGGGGGCCACAAAAAAAAAAGTTTGCAACTTAAACTTTTTATATGAAAATTCTCTTTCTCGAAACCAGCAAGTTTCCCATCCAAGTTCTCCCCCTAATGGAACTCAAACAAAGTCGACCCTACGCCCCTGGATACTCCTCCTGGCCACTGTCCCAACACGTATGGTCTATAAAAAACGCTTTCGCCTTATGTGTGTGCTTTTGTGTACAGTGTACCATACAGTGTATGTATGCTCCCCTCCTTCCGACTCCGGCGTCTATTTATGTATTTTGTTTGTGTTTATTAGTCGCCTGTGTGTCTAGAGATTGATGGCATGTGCCGAGAAGCCCTGGTCGTGTGAATATTCTTTAAATGAAAATCCACCTTTTCAATACTTGGACTTTGATACCTGGTAATATGCTTAGAAAGACTTTTCTTTGCCAAGAAAGCAGTCTGTTAAAAAATGCATTTCTATGGAAACATATCAACTTTCTATGAAATAATGAAATAAACCAATTATGATACATAATATACAATTAAAAATTTCAAAGCATCATGGAAAGAGTTTTTGGAAGATGTATTTATCAGCTTCAATGTTTAACTTATTTTTCTTAAATTGTGGTTGGTTTACAAATTCTATGCATTAAAAATTTACATTTTATTTTATTAAACCATCCTTAGAGCCATAAAAGCGATCACCTCTCCCGAGAAATGCGGCTGTAAACATTTCCCTCTTAGCTGTTCCGGATCCGGCCCTATTTTTTTATAGTGGCCCATTTGCTACATTTTATTGTGGGTTTCCTGGATTATATAAATATTTTTATGCATGTATGTACATACACATTTTTGTACATCGGCGCTATCTAGGGCTTTTCCTATTTATTTTTTATTTCACACATTTCTGCTTTGCACTTGACTTGTTCCGCAATTTATTTGATTATGGATGGAAATGGTAACATAACGAAATGATGGATGGGGAAAGTAGTTTTTCACACTACTGAGAGTGAAATGGAAAACTAAGTTGCCCCGTTCCGAGGCGCGTCATCAGTGAAACTGGAAAACGTTTAAATTGTTGCCTGCACTTTGCATCTGGGCGACTGCCAAATGGCACACAGCTGTGAAAAAGGCTACAAAACAAGGGAAAAGGATACGTGAGAAGGCAGGGACAATGACTTGCACACTAGCACACACTGCCAAACACGAGGGGCAACAGTTTGTTTGTTTAAGTGCTCGAAACTGGCGCCACGTGCAGCTGCCAACAATTCCGCAGGCCATGTTTGCATTTTGAATGAGCCCGCGATCAAGCAAGGGGGCAGGCGGGAAGGGGCAGGTAGGAGGCCCAAAAGGACGGGAAAGAAACGGAAATGCAACAGGACGAGCAGAGTCCTCCCTGGGAGGCTACCTCCTGGGAGATGGTTTAAATATTTAGCCAGGCCAGGAGACTCACTTAGCTGATAAATCCACTCCGCCATCCGGCCAACAATGAAATTAGGCGTAAGCGGCACCCACAACACGCAGTGAGAGAAAAATGGTAGTACATTTATTAAGTTTATATCCAAATATCCACTACGAAGCATAAACACAAAGTACCGGGTATCATATAGTCAAGACTTTAGCCGCTAGCCACTAGAGTCCAGCATTAAACCACCCAAATATTAATAACAAATTCATTGATTTAAGCCAAATACTCTTCTCTGTAATATTAGAAAGCATCATGCAGCTAATTCATGACAATATTCGGTGGCTTTTGTGGATTTTATGGGCCTATCCAAGCACCAAAGCCATATGCATGACACTGCCGTTCTGGTCGCCCGTTCCCATGCCCGTTCTCACTCAAATTGCCATCAGCAGCTCATAAGACCGAGGGACTCAAGACCCGAGGAGTGGCCAAGTGGCAAAGCAGTTAGTGGCAGTGGCAGTGGCAGAACAAAAAATTGGCCCCCGATGACGGAAGGGGGGAGACACATTGAGTCCGGGTGCTCAGGCGGAAACGGAAGTGACAGTGTATGAAACAGACAGATAGCAAAGGAATGTCAGAGGGGGCTATGGGAGTGGGGCAACCACAGGTATTAGGTGCACGAGAGCGGCAGTACCACAAAATAGACATAAATAAGAAACGCACTTGGTAGTAAGGCGTAACAATTTCATCGTTATCGTGTTAGGACATGGACGATGTATATATACATATATATATATTTATTTTGTATATAAATTTGCATTGAAATTGAGGCAAGACAAGGGCCAACGAAGTGTGGAAAACAGATTGTCAGGCCCAGTATAAATAGCCCTGGTTCAAAGAGTTGAATCCTGTTGTGGCATGCCCCAGTCTAAGTCTTTAATGTTTGCCAATTTGTACGCAAAGCCCGTTTTATGGCAGACATTGACAGACTGCAAGGATAACTTCCCCAGCATTTTCAAGGTCCCCCCTAAAAAGTTGAGACCTCCTAGCAAATACTTGCACAATATATTTAACCACTTAGGGTCACTTGAACTTTGGACCAACAAAGAAATAAACAGAGACATGAATAATTGGGGTCTGGAATGGATAAAAACAATATACATTTAAGCGCAAATAAGAGGCTTGACTTTGAATTCAAAACTGAGAAATAAATAAGCCGTTCAATAGTCCATTCAGGTTACAGGTCATAGACAATAGATTGGGGTCATCAAACGTTGAGACCACGGCTCTCCCCCAACTTTCCGAGTTGTTATTTTTTTCTTGGAGAGATTTTCTTTTACGCTTATCGAGATGCTAGGGGGGCTGATTTATAAGCTGACAATTTGGCTACTCAAGGACAGTCCGCACAAGGACGCCTCAAGGCTTCATTAGCCGGCGGGTTTAGCAAGGACATGCTGGCAAACTATGCTAAGCGAAGAGATTCAGCTGCGTTTTATTACGCCACAAACAATCTATGTATCTGCCAGCGTTCGGACCATTATTTATATTGTGTTAAGCACTTTAGTACATCCTAATGCCTAAGCCAAACTCCAACATGGGCGAGACACGACCGGAAGGGGCACAGGAAGTGAAAGGCAGGGCCGACTGCACAAGGACATCGGCGGTTGCACTGTCCAGAGACATTGGAACGTGTCTAAAAGGCGTGAAGAGTGCACGTAAACCCGCAAATTGCTGCTAATAGAGTGCAAACAGTTTCGAGCAGGATGCTGTCATCGCAAAAGGAAACTGCGAATGGGGAAATGCACTTACACCTAAACTCAAAAAAAAAAGAATAGACAAAACCAGGACAGCGGAAAATTGCACTTACCTTGAAACTGGTTACCAGGTCGTTTTTGATGAACGCCCCAAATCGCAAATATCCTGCCAAGGGATTCCACTTGGCCAGCATTCGGCGTTCGGGGAATTTCATTTTTGTAATGTGGCCAAAGACATATTTTGCGTGCCACCAGGAAACTATTTGCCAAACCGAATCCCCATACTTGGTCCTTGTTCCTTCGCCCTCAAAGTCATAGTGGATGTGCCAAAAACGAAACGATTTTCGAAACAATTTTCCGGTCGGCACACAAATTCACGGCATCTGTGGCTTTGGCGAAAATGGCTCCTGCCTGCTGAAATATCTCTCTTAACGCTGAAATTTCATTAGTTCACGCACGGAATGCAGCAACAAGTTCGGGCTTTTGGCATAGCTCTTGGCCCACCAAAAATCATAAACCGAAAACTCGAGCCAGCCTGATGAGTTTAGATTCGCGGCAAAGTTAGTTAGTTAGCCTGACGGGCGGCAGTCTTGAAACTTCCTGTTTCAAGGGTTTCCTAAAGTGCTGCACACGCGGCGTATGCGTAACTAATTCAGGTGCTCTCGTGTGGTGACTTTCTCCATGGCTTTCCCCTCCAAGAAAGGGATAGAAACACCAGTAGAGAGAGTTGGCTGTAGAAAGAGCGAGAGTAGAACCTCAGACCTGCGAAAATCAGCTGCTCGTCCGGAACTGTCTCTGTTTTCTTTTACTATCTGGGCTTCAACGGGCCGTAATGTTGCCAAATGTTACCTACTAACATTTCAAGCTGTCTCTAAAAGAGAGACAAAGTTCCTCAAACCCTTAAAAATATCCTTCCATGTAGATAAGAAAGCTAGATGTGAAGCTTTAACAACAAGTTTATCAGGACATCATAACATAAGCTCCTTACAATTTCTTTTTAAACCAAAAGCTTTTTGTTAACTTTCTCCAAAGCTTGTTTAGACCAGATCTAAATAATGGTAATAAACTCGGGATTCATAAAGGAGAACCCAATGAAATCGTTCTGGTCCAGATTCATCATGAAAAGCTTGTCTGTGGGAGTCAGATCCGTCTTTTCTTTGGTGAAGACCTCATCAAAGTTGCTAATGTCCTTGCGATGTTTCTGGAAAATAATATACATATTTTATTCTTAAACTTAGACCCTTTTTAGTCCTTACTATCTTTGGCTTAATGGGCGGATCCATTTCACAGGCCTCTGCTTTATCCCAATCAATATTCCGGAAGAAAGGATGTGTGGTTATTTCCTGTCTGGCATAACGTCCTGCGCCCAAGCGATTGTTGGGCTTTTTGGCCAGAAACTAAGTTGATAATGCATTTTTATAAAAGATATTTTATTTATAGGTTGTTATACACTTACGCTTGTTATTATATCCATTGCCTCTTGACTAAAGTGCTTGGGAAACACGGCCTTTTTTTCCTTGATATTCCGAAACACGGTGGTCTCATCATCGCCTTCAAAAGGAGCCTGTCCGGCCATGAACTCATAAAGTAAAACGCCATAAGACCACCAATCAACGGTGGTGGAATAGGGATCATAGCTAACAATCTAAAATAAGAGATCCTAGACTTAGATCTTTATAAAATTTAACCCAAAACCCACCTCTGGAGCCATGTAGTTAGGAGTTCCACAGAAAGTACGAGTTCCCTGACGATCACTCACACCTTCCTTACTTAACCCAAAGTCCACCAGCTTAACATGTCCCTCACCATCCAGTAAAATATTATCCAGCTTCAAGTCCCTGTAGATAATGTCCCTCTCATGAAGGAAAAATAGAGCAATGGCTATCTCCACGGCATAGAACCTAAGAGAAGAAATAGGTAAGGAAATCATAGTAGATCCTTAACTTCAAAAACAAACTCACGTAGCCACAGACTCCTTAAATCTACCATATTGCTGCATATGGTACATAAGATCTCCACCTTTGCAATACTCCATAACGAAAAACAATCGATCCATAGTCTGGAAACAGGAATGCATGGAGACAAGGAAAGGAGGACGTCCTGACAAAGCCAATATCCTTTTCTCATTCATGGGCAACTCCATGTCATCCGTCTGGATGATGACATCCTTGCGTAAGACCTTGACGGCATACAATTCATCGGTACCACGACGTTCTGCCAGAAGGACCTTTCCAAAGGATCCTTTGCCAATGGTCTTGACAAAATTAAAGTCAGCAGCTCGAATCATATCCCGTTTGCTCATATTATGCGGCATGTCCTTGTTGTCCATGCGACGTTTATCATTAGGACGACGATCGTGCTGGGGTTACAAAAGTTATAAGATATTTTAGGCTTTTATAGCTTTTAAATACCTTGACTTCATCGCGCAGACGGGCCATGTCATTTATTGCATCCACACAGGGAATGTTATAGTGCTCTCCCTCGACTTGGGAAAGAAACTTGTACCATCCATCGATGGGTTCCTTTTGAAGTTCCTCCATGCTAAACGAGAAGGAGCCCATGAAATCGTTGCGAGAAGTACGATCCCAATCCCAGACTTCGATTAGAAGACGTTTCTCACGATCCTGCGGTTGGAGTTCACTAAAATAATATAATTTTTGTACTTAAATGTTAATCGAGCTTAACTATAAATTCTTACAAAGTAATGGTCTCATTAAAGACAGGATTCAGGTTCTTCTGGATGGTCTTGGTCTTCTTTTTGGTTCGTCCTGATCGATCAGGATGCATTTGCACAGCAATATAGGGATCGCTGAAGCCATTAGTATCCATGGGAATCAGATTAGCAGCCTCCTTAACTGAAAATGATGTTTATACATATTTTCTACATGCATCCTAAAAAGTAAGTACTTACTATCCACCTTCAGATTGTTGCCCTTGAGCTCCACGTAGAGCAGCAGTTTACCCCTCACCTCGCTGATGTCGGCACCACACATGGGTGGCACCATCTCCTGGCACGACTGGTGCACATTCAGGTTGCAATCTAGACCAGGATTTTAAGATTTCTATATAACATTCATATTCACAACTCACTTTCGCACTTGACTCCTTGATGGGCCACTCCATGGAGCAGCAAACCACACTCATCGCAGAAGGTGGGCGTGGTGTAGGTGGTGGAGATCCAACCATGCTTGACCTTGGCGCAGTCGGCATCGAAATCGGTGTCCTTGCCAGGACACTTGAACACTACGAACTTGCAGCACTTTTGATGGATGTTGAAGCGGCACTCTAAACGGGAAATATTCTGTGACACCCTTGTAATGATGAAATTTTAAAACCTACCCTCGCATTGATAGCCTTGCTTGCCAAAACCCCTAATCCCGTCCACGAAATCCACAAAATGCAACAATGCGAAACGGAAGACCAGCGCAAAAAAACAGTGAGTCAGAAAAAACAACGGAAAGGGAAAGTATGTCAGCCAGAGGAACGCTAATTAAATTAACGATGGTGAGGCACACAAAACCCAGTCGAAAATCTTACGCAATGCGAAACAGAACCGAAAATCTCACCAGATAAAGTCCTTGCAGTGACCACAGTAGGTTGGCTGCTTAAAGAATCTCACTCCGAAGCGATGGCCGTTCACCATCTCCAAGCCCTTTCGCTTCATGGCGCCCTTCCTCAGACGGTTCTTCATGTAGTTGACGATATTGGCCTCGCCCGTGATGTCCAGTAGGTTTAGCGGTCCCTTGCCCCCGGCTGCTCCACCGGCGGCAGCTCCTGCCCCGGCGGCTGGGGCCTTGGGTCCTGCCGGAGCAGCCGGTCCTGATGGGGGGAGCACCGTGGCCCCCGGAGTGGCAACAGCAGCGGCAGCCATCTAACAAGAACTCAGCAAGCTATTAGCCAGAAAAAAAGCTGACTCAGACCGCGCGGCTTCAGGCCCGTTTAGAAACTGAGAACATGACCTGGCCAGACCGGAGAAGACCCCAAGACAGTCTAAACAAGCAGCCAACAAAGTGCAGACACATAGCTAATAGAAAAAAATATTGGCTATAAGGGCGACTGAGACTGAGAGGTAGTAGATCTATCAAAGAAACAATACCCTGTAAGTAATATTTTATTTAATATTATAGTATCGAAAGCTCTTTAAAAGACTACAAATATTAGTCCCCATGTCCCCACTAATCAGCACTCATCATGGCGCATAAAGAGGCACTTGCTCCAAAGCGACACAATCATCTCTAAGGGCAAACCACTCGACGGCAACCTGTCAATCGAACCGAGAAATCATGAATTCCAAACTAGAAAGGACGGCAAGGATAGCTGGCAGAAGGCAGGAGGCAGGTCCTTGCCAGCGATAAGTGTAAACAGTTTGGGAAAGGTCAAGAAGGTGCTTACCTAGCCAGAAGACAAACACAATATCCAACATCCGTGACATCTCGCAGGACAACTGCAGCAGTTGTGACGTCAATGCCTCGGACCACATGCACAAATGGCCAAAAGGGGGGATGGCTGAGACAAAGGGGGAGCTGTAGGGTCGTGGGGGGTCGAGGAAAATTTTGCTACTTCGGCAGTTATGTGCAAAAGTTTATTTGACGTTTGTCGATTGTTTATTTATTCACTGGCAGTACTGATTAATTTATGCAATTGCCAGCTAGGCACAATTTCTGTATGATTTAACGCCCCCCTGCCCCAGCCCCCTGCCCGACGGAAAGCAACCCCCAACCCTTAACCCCTAACCACCAGCACCACCACCCTCTGGCCCTTGGCTAAAAATAGAAATAGAAAACGCAAAATTGAGCACAAAGTGCACACAGGACACAGAAGGACGCTCGCAAGGCAAACAAACTAAAAGCTTTGCTTTGCTTTCTTTTTTCTTTTTGTTTTTTCGCTGCGGTTAGCTGAAATCTAAACCAAAACAACTTATGACGTGGCAAGAACATATAAAAACAGGGGGCAGGGAGGTGGAAAATGCATTTAAGCGGAAATGGAAACCCTTTGTCAGCAGCAAATGTCATTAGAAGACGACCAGACCAACCGACTGGTCCGATGAACGTACGTATCTGGATTTGCAGCACGCGTATCTGTATCTCAGAAGTGCACTCAGTGAGTCGACAAATATGCACCCGGAGATTGCACACCTGTCGGTTAAAAGGGGGCTGCCCCAGGGGCAAGGTGGCGGGGAGAGAGTTGCAAATAGATTCCGTTGCCGTAGCATCTTGGGTTTCAATTTACGTCATCATTTCCATGGCGTCGCCAAACAGTTTTCCTTGCTGCCTTTTTTCTCTGTTTGCAATTTCACAAAAGCAGGCCAAGCCACAAAGATAGAAAGCGCGAGAGCACGAGAGAAAGCATAGGAGAAAGTTCAGTACTCTCAGGAGCAGATAGAAAGGCTCTCTTTGTATAACACATTTTATTACAGGTTACTTTTAGTTATTTACTTTGAATTTACTTTGGATTTATTTTCTCTTTGAATTTCTTTGATTTTGTTTGCTTTTGGCCATAGGTTTTGTTTTTCTCTCTTATTTGGACATTTGGCAATTCACTTGGCTACTTGTTAGCCAGCTTTGGTGTTGTGGTTGTTGCTTTTGGCCATTCTTTGTTGACCTGCGCCCTTAACACCTATTGATCTGCATCACACCTGTCGGGAGTGACTGAGTCTGGCTTAAAGAAAGGATAACGATCATGGCTTTGTCATTTATTTCATTATTATAAGTTTAATACAATTTTAGCGTAAAGTAAATAAAATAATATTATAAAAATATTATTTAAGAACCATTTAAATTATTTAAATTTACAGAATTTTTCTCAAAAGAGATATTTTTAGCAAATCTAAAAAACAAATAGAAGCCTCTTACAGCTCCTGATATATGCACCAATAATTTTAACCCTTTAGCAACAATACACACCCATCTAACCCTTATACCCCTTTTCAAGAAATGAATATTTTTGCAATAACAATCCAAAGTTTGAATTCCAAACCAATCCTTGCCACAAACATCTACCAAACGTGGTAAAAACCGCAGCAATTAGCCGAACAAGGGGCAAATGGCCAACCATAATTAACAGTGCCACATGAAATTGAACAAACACAATTGTGTGAGCTGACAAAACCGCAACAAAACGGCCAACTGGACAATGGCCATCAAAGAACCGGGCCGGGCTGGGCTGGGACAAGCCGAGGAAGTGGTGCCCCCAAACTTTGCGATTTGTTTGGACGATTCGCGGCAGTGTCATGACGTTGAGCCGCAGACAGAGACGGAATGCCAAACTAGAGCGAGAAAGCGGAGTAAACAATAAATTGGCAACATGCTGAAGGCGCGGGAGCCGCAAAAAGGGCTTCCGCGGACATCAGGTCGTATACGCAACGTTAACTGTTATACCAAAAAGTCGCCGGCAATGGCTGGATGGCGCAGGCGCTTGCCAGCCAGCGGAAAAACTATCCCAAAAAGAACAGTATTTTATGGCTCTGGAAAATCCTTGCAGCCAGTCGCACTCAGAAACGCCAAGGTGCAGGTTGTACGGACGGCAGAACACGCGGCGTATACGTAACGTGGAAAACTATAAAAGTTGTCGTGAGTGGAGTGTGCAGCGAAAAGTCGAAAGTCCATGAGTTGGCTTCGTCACTGTTGTTGTTGATCAATTAAAGGCTGACATGGACTGACTGACTCACCTGGATTTTGGGCCAAAAGTGGCAAAAAAAACGTGCAAAACGCTGTTCGTAAACAAAACGTGTCCAAGCCCTGGAAGAGTCATCACTCTCTCATCCTCTCTCGGCAACTCACTTTCTCTTTTTTTTTGTCTCTCTGGAAATTGCGTCAAGCTCACGCAGCTTCCACGACGGTTGCGTGGGAAATTTGGTAGAAGCTGCTACTTTGCGACATTCCCCGTTCTGCGTTGGCCAAAGGTGCACGTGGGGCCGACTTTCCGCTTCCGGACCTATTGCCGAAAATATATCCTTAAAGAGAAAAATCCAACCAAAGCTTGTAATCAGCCAACTAATTTTCCTCCTTATTCAGTGCGTGTCGAGCTCGGTGATTCGGCTTTTGTGTCACTTTCTACCATGTAATTGAAATTAATGATCATTGTACTGGCTGGGACTGTAATTTTGGCTGCCTCGACAGGCCACAGAGCAGAAATATTTATTCCGAATATAATTTTAATGCTTTCGGAGTCTGAGGGGATCTCCGACACTTTGCTTTATTAAAATACCGCCCCAGGGGCATTAGAATCTTTCCTCAAAGTTCAGCATTTTCCCCGCATTGATGTGTGACAGTCAGGTGTGAAAGATTGTTGAGGGAAAATAGAGTATGTTTTCCTTGGAGGACATAGTGAGGAGCGGTACTCTAGGGACCTTGTATGTTTATTTATTTATGCCAAGAGTGCCGAATGCCACTCACAAAGTACACCTTAAATTATTTTAGCACTAACATTTCTAGTAAGCCAAATTCACACCTTATTGGGGAATGAAAATCTCAGTTCTTGGCGATAAATTGCCATCATTGAATACACATTCGAAATCTCCGTATTTCCAGAATGCAAAATTGATTGCACCTCCTCGGCAGCAGGACTCGTAGGAACAGTATGCGAAGAAAAAAGAAAAGTGAAAGTGAAATGAAAGGTAATCTGAACCAAAGTCGACTCTAAGCACGGGCCACAAAGTCCCATAGAGCCGTACAAAATGCTCCTAGCGGTTCCGTTTTGCCTGTGTCCATGTTGTGATTACATAATGAGACGCTGCTAGAAGTCCAACTCAAAAGGAGAAGTCCCAGTCGTCGTCGCCATCGCAGTCGCAAAGAAAAAGTGCCAAGTGTAAGCAAACCCAGCAAGTAATAAATATCTCAACTCGCCACCAAGTATCTCTGCCGGAACAGCAGTAGCATATATAAGCAATAGTCAAAGGACCTTAAGGAGCGAAAGGATGCCCTTCGGTAGAAAGTCACCGCTGGAGGCTCTGGCCCTCCCCGGCGTGATGCTCGCCTACAAGTACAGCCAGTTCCGGCAGCGCCGCCGGGAGGCAGCCAGCCGACGGGTCACCGAGCGCGAACTCTCCGCCCTCCACCATAAAATCGTGAGTACAAATATGGGGGATATGAAAACAAAGTTATATTTTACATACGCATCTTAAGGGGTCTATAGATTTTTAGATAAACTTAAATGAAAATCTTTAAAGGTTAATACAATATGAAAAGAAAGATCTTAGGGGGGTCTATAGACTTTTAGATAAACTTAAATGAAAATCTTTAAAGGTTAATACAATATGAAAAGAAAGATCTTAGAGAAAGAATGATGAACCCTATAAAACAGTTTACTATTTCTCATATATAGGGTGTTTCTTTGTCGTTATCCCTACATAGTTTTCTCTTCCTTGTTTATGTACCGGCTTCGTAACCTCGTCCTGCCATCTCTTCCGTCTTTTCCCGTTTACCCATAAAACGTAACGCAATAAAAGAGCGAAACGAGAAAACAGGGGCGAACGTTTATCAAAGCGGGCGGGCGGGGCATCATTAGCCGCAGAACGGGAGCCCCTCGAAAACATCAAACCCAAACCCCAAGTCCTGACCCAAACCCATACCCATACCCATACCCACAAAAAAAAAACACACACACACATCCCATTCGAGTTCCTAAGTAGCCGCGACTGTTCTGTCGCTGCTCTTGGGCCTTTTTAGAGAGCAGCTCTTCCTGCTTTTCTGGTTCTGGTTCTGTTTGTGTTTTTGTTTCTGTTTCTGGCCTCTCACATTCACAGCTGGCAAATAGTAATAAAAATAAAAAGGACAAAACGCGAGCAAGAGCAAAAAATGAAGCACACATCAAACAAGGTGAGGCTTAGCTCAGTTGTGTCCTGGCCCGCAAAAGTAGGCAATAAAAAACACTATAACTTGTACGACATTTCACATATGCGGCAGTTATACATATGTGTGTGTTTTTGCGTGTATTATGGTGTGTGTGTGTGGTTGTATATACACACAGATGAGTCTAAAACTTATTTGCATTTTAAGGGTCTATAAAAAAAATGTACGAGGAAGCAAAAAGCAAAGACGAAGACGAAAAAGTTTTAGAGTCGAGATTTCGTTGGCCATTTTGGCGAAAAATAAACTTATTTTTATGATATGGACAATCTTGGCCACAATAGAATAGTTCCCATCACTTGATAGGCCAACTTAATCAAACCATTTACATGGCTAATTATTTAATAGTTAAGTTGACTTTAATAAGAGGAAATCTCTTGTTCCATACTTAGAAAACTATTCAATGAAGCTGAGTTAAATCAGAGAATATCTTAATATTTCTCTCAGCTTAATGGATCTCAAATCTAGGGAATATTATTTAATAAAGCAGCCATATGAACAGCTTTTATAGAAAGAAAACCATTAAGTTATATAGCCATAGAAAGTCATTTGCATTTTCCACAGGACCAAAATGTACAACGCGACCGACTGCATAGTGTTAAGTTCACTTGAGATTTTACGAGACTTGTTTGAAATTTATGACTTTCAAAGCCATAGACAGCCACGCCCCCTTGCCAAAGACACACACATGCATACACACATACACATTGCACTCTCTTGTCCGCACTTGGGCACTTATATAAGGAGAACAAGTATTGCAAAGTGCACAAACAGAAACAACAAAAAAAAACAGCCAGTACTGTGCTTAGCTCAACTGTTTTGCATAAAATCTGACGCGTGACTGTAATTTTTGTACAGCGACCTTGAAAAGCGACTCAAACCCCCTCACACACAGATAGGCACACGCACACCAACACACAGTTACATTAGCAAAACTGGGCAAACACACGGCAAATGCTTTTATGCAACATTAAAATTCACAAAAGCCTGACCAGACTACCATTTCCAAAATGCCTTCACAATTAAATGGCCCTCTCAGGGCTTTTGTTTTTCCCCTTTTAAAAGGTATGACTCTCGTGCAAATTCATTTACATCATATTCAAGTAAATAAATTAAAAGTTAGTTTAGTAATTTAAATTCTAAAAATCTGGTTTCGTTTTTAAAGACTTTTCTTAAGAAACAAAAATGTAAAAGCTTAGATCTGAAGACTGAAGCTCCAAAATCTCAATCGAACTCCAATGGGTTATGGCAAATAAGCCACAGATCCTGGTCATAAACACGGCCCCTAAGAACCTGACACAGCCCACAAGTATTCCAGCTGAGCTAAGCTAAGCCCATGTAATCCTGCCGAGAAGAGTGGCAACCACATGCACCCACACCCTGCCACTCACACACTCGAAAGGCGTACAACACACGCACAGTTGGTGTCGTTTCGTAATCCCCAAAAGTATGCAGCGACAAAATTGTCATTTACTCCGTGCCGAGAGAGCCGGAAAAGTCGGAAAATGCGGGTCTAAAGGGGCCAATACATATGTGTAGAAAACCAGACGAGTCCGCCGCGATATGTTATTAATGCAAATTCGCATAATACATAACAAGTTGATTAGCTGAGCTGCGGTTCTCCCACCGCTCGGGGAATAGAAATGGAAAATGGGCCGGAAACTGGAAGGGGGCCCAGGGAAGACAATCCTTTGGCGCTTAAAGAAAAAACCCTGTCAAAACTAAACTCCCACTACCCCAAACCTATAAAATGAGTCGCGTGACTGTCCAACATCAGCCAAAAAACAGAAAAAATGAGAACCCCTCAGCGAAACCTCCAAGAAGGACCTCTAACTGGACATTTTTTGGTCAGGCAATGAAAATAAAATTTATAATTTACTCTGTGCAAAGGACAGCGGGCGGATGTTGTCACCTGGTGCGGTGGCATTGGAAATAGGTGCAAATTAATGAACCCTCAGTCTGTCGGAAAGGTCAAATTCTGCCCTTTTTCTAAAGGTTTTTCTTTTCCTTTGCAAAAAAAACATGATTATTAGCTGCTGCAGTTGCTGCTTTGCAGCAATGTCCTTTGAATTTTTCTCTCTATCAACTTGTGCCTCACGTTTTCCCTTTATTTTTTTGTTCGTTTTCTGCGGGTCCTTTGACTTGTAAGTCTTTAGCAATAAATGACCACACAATTTGACTTGGCACTTGCAACGTGCTCTCTAAAAAAAGGAAAAAAAGGAAAGGAAATAATTGGAAAAAAAAAGAGAATCCCGCTTAGTCATCCAAATGCCAAAGCAGTTGCTACGGTTTTTGGGCTTGGTTTTTGGAATCCTTTTTGAGGTTTAAGTTTTAGAGGGTATTGTAGTTAAGATACTAGAGGATATAGTTCAAGACACAAATAGCAAAGATTTGATAGAATTTGGAATACAAATCCTTCCTACTTTGGGATAGTTTTAAATCAAATGATTTTTATGTGGATCCTATTGAAAAGTGTATTTAAAAGTCCTTCTATCCTATTCTGTATGAACCTCTATACCAATTTCCTGTGTTGTTTCTTTGTGGTCAGTTACACAAACATTTTATATTGCACTTTGCCCCACGCCATCGACCCCACCTTCCCTCCACCCCCAACGAATAACCTCAAAATCGCTCGGCCATAAATCAGACACAAAAAGCATTTGAAAGTAATTCCATTTTGAATGTCCGTTTGCCATGTGCTAGGACATAGCGCCTGGGGTGTCATTGGGTTTAGTTTACCAGAAGCCAATCGAAAACCCATACTATCGAGCGACTATTCACCGATTTTGCAGAGGTCCTGCTGCTGAGGGACAGTCTGGGAATAAATCGTTAAGATGGGGAATTAGTCAGTTTAATGATGGCTGAGCCATGACCATTTAGCGGGAAAATGGTCATTAAAATAAAGGGAAGAGAAATTGTCCCAGGATTTGGCACGCAATGCAGAAGCCGGATATCCTGACTCTACTCCTATTTTTTTGCTCCTATGATGCCTCCCTTGTTCCGAGAAGTAATTGAACTTTTGTGTCGCGGCAGACACGCAACTTTCTGCAGGATAATGGCAAACGACGGCGACGTCGACGTCCCTCGTTCAACTTAATATGCGAAAATGTCAGCGTGTGCTCCCTTTGTCGTCTGCGAACTTCCGCTTTTGACCCGCCCCTCTCGTCCCGAGCCCCCCTTGCAATTAGAGTGCATTAAACTTTAGTGTTTACGCATTGAGTTTGTTGTTCTTTTCGCTGTGAGATTTCCTTGGGCCATCACGTGCAGCACCAAAAAACAAAAAATAAAAAAAAACAAAAAAAGGGTTGTGAAAAATTCCCATTTCTTAGCTCCCCCCTTGACAGCCCCCTCGGGGTGCGCCAGTGCATTAGCGCAAGTCACGCGATGTCTGCACTGTTATACTATATACTACATACTATACATGGCTGGAATCAGGTATGGCAGGGTGTATGGTATATTTATAAAGGGGGGAATTTTCAATGTAGTCGGCAGACGTTTACTTTAATTGCATTGATTGGAGCATTTAGAGTGGCCAGCCAGTCGATGTGGAACAAGATACGTTCTATGCAATTATTTTTCGAAGGCTTTTTCCCTTCAAGTCACACCCGATAAGCTAGTAATTACAAAGTGCCTACGAATTTATCATGTATTCATAGATTAAATACAATTAAAACTCATGAAAACCTACATAGCTTAATCCCTTTCATTTCCCACTATTTTAAGGATTTTTTCGACTTAAACCTTGTCACATTTCATTACGCGCCGGCAGAGATAAGACCGCAAAAAAAAAAAAGTTTTTATCCGCGGAAGGCTTCTATGCCACAAAGAATAAATAAAAATTCCGGCAAGATAATAAAAAATGGCAGAGACAGCGAAAAATAACAGAGGGAAAAACTACAATATAGAGTACATATAGAAATAAAGAAAAAAAGCCATGACAGGAGCTCAAGGGGCGGATGCGAAATTGGAACTGGGCCCGCTGCACCAACACAATGGCATAACAAACACCCACACACTCACACCACACCCTCCCACACACACACACACACACACAAATACAAAACTTCGGCCTTAAGCGAAATGCGTTTCGATGGTTTTAGCCCAAGGACAGATTTCAATTAAAATTTATTGTTTGTGCCAAAATGAATTTGAAATAAATTGAAATGTAATGGAATCCAATGCGACTTTTATTTAAAAATTCCATTTAATTTAATCCTATCTCGTTTTTTTTATGCATAGTATAGTAATAATAGTTTGTCAACTGTAACTAAACACTCGGCACTCATTGAACAAAAGCAAATGGACTCTTAGCCATACATATTCGTGGCTGAAATGCTTTACAGCTCAACACTTTATCCTGCAGCCCTTCAGTCCTCCGCTAGTCCTTCCCCCCCTTACCTTTACGGCCACTGAACATTTACAAAAAAAGGCAAACAACTTGTTCCACACATGAGCTGCCTTGAAAGCAGCCTGGAAATAGAAATATCCCAAGTGAAACTTTCAAAGGGACTCTCATCCTCCCGCCACTCCTCACTTTTTTAGCCATTTCACCTGGCCAACTGCATCATTCACACACACACACAGGCATACACCGCCCCTGCCGCCATTTTGATTTCAATGAGTTGCCATCCAAAAATGGCATCGCTTCGGTTTCACTTTGCACTTTTGTGTTAAAAGCCCTAATTACACTCTCAGCAGCCGGCTCCCACACCCGCAACACATCCTGCCACATCCACATGTGTCTAGTTGGCAAATTTGACACTTTTGTCATAATTTTGTATGGCTGGCAAACAACTACAGGATGCACATAGAGAAAAACAAACTTAATTGGTTTGAAATTCTAAGAAATGGAAGAAAAATAGTTTCATATTTTCAGAAACTATAATTATTTAAAAGTATCAATATAATAGTTTTGAAATAACCCACTTACTCACAATTTTTTGTTGTGCACTTCTAACTCAAAGAGTCCTGTGCTCCTGTGTTGTTTTTATGATATCCATACTCATATCCTTGTGTTTCAGCTACAGCAGCTGCACTTAGTGTCGCTGTGTGTGTGCTAGTGGCTTGCCTGCCTGTTTGTGTTGGCCAGAGTTTTGCAATTAGCCCACATCCTGACAATTGATGGCAGCCGGAGCATGAGACCGTCCCCAATTAGTTGTCAACAAGCCATTCCGCCCTCCCACACAGTTGCCTATCGTTTGATTTGACTTTTATGGTTTATAATTGGTTTTTAATGTAGCTGGCCATTAGTAGTAGTTGCACCTTCTTAAAAATTAAATATTGGTCTCTCTATGTCCCCATGACATCTGCTACGTAAATTTTTCCTTTAAGCTTCGACATTGAAGGGTGTGGCTTGAGATGATGTTTTTATTAAAGTCAATAAATTCACTTAGCAGCATGGGATGACCAAGAAAAGTGCTATAAACAAGTGTAGGATAAAGTTTTATGGAGAGTTAAGGCTATAGAGCACCTAGGATGAAGGTATTCCTCTTTTTGCTTTTTTATCAAGGCTTTTCTTTTGTTTTTTAAAAGTCTAGACAGTCTCTAAAACCTTTTCTTTTAAAACCTTAATAGTTTGTTAGCTTTTCTAAGCTATAGGGTATCAAAAGACCCTATCATATAACCTTCTATATCCACTCGAGTCGCTGACACGTAAACACTGCTCCGATATAAATGCAATTTCTCTTCATGACAATGTTGCCCCAGCTAGCATGCTTCAAATAGAGAAGTGAAAAGCCAGGTTCCTGGACAGAAGGAGAGGGCTTGGCCGGGGGGGCTTGGGAAAATGGTGGAAACTTAATGGAATTGTTGGTGCCTCGGCGCGGCAGTGGCATGCCTCCACTTGCAATTATCGGCGCATAAAAGGAAGAAAGTGCTGCAGCGCAATAATAAACAACAAGAGCAACATGGCCGGGAAAGGCATATGCCAGCATGTTTCCACGAAATGAAATGTGAAAGGATATCGATTTAATTAATTTCTCTATGCCTTTAAAGCCTGCTGCAGGCAGCAGCAGGTGCCGAAAACTGACGGATTGATTGAGAAACTGAGTGATTGTTGGAGTGAGTGATTGCTCTACATGAAAACTGTTGCGAGGGCGTGTATGTTCTCTAAGGTCACCTACTTTTCGGTGTCAAAGTGCTTGAAGGAATTATCACAATGTAAAGGGAAAAGGCTTTCCCCTAACTTTATGAAGGGGCTTTTCTTGAATTCTGAAACTTAATTAAGAAACCCCTCTCCAGTGAAACTAAATCCCTGAAATGAGCATTTAATTTTCAATGTCAGTCTCCTTTCTCTTGGCAAATGGCATGCTTTCAGCTCCTTAAGATCAATGTTAGATAAGACTCTTGTGTAGACTCTTATCCTGAACCTGCCAGTCTTCGTTACCCGGAGAAAATACAACACACTCAGGTGTTTAAGTCGGAAGCCCAACTAGAATGGGAGCCAGACACGGTATTAATAATCAATTCCAAACCTCAATCAATCAGCAACCGCTCAGCTTAGCCCAGCTCATTGACAGCTTTTGGAATTTGTCATCTCACCCATTCCATCGTCAGGTCCTTCGAAACAGAGGGATACGACAGGATCTCCCTCCAATAGCCAACCTCATTAGCTTCAACATTTTTTTTCTCTGAGTCAGCAGCGAGTCGTTCGCACGTGTTTTTCATGGCATGGCTGACAGCCATTCAGGGGACACTGGAGGGTTAAGAGTCGGAAGGGGCTAACCAGTGGCTAAGGAGTGTTTTTATTATTGGCCTACTTTGCCGGGCCGCCCACCGCGAAAATGCCCATAGTTGACACCGAGACTGAGGTGGACAAAAATACAAATACGCCAGGAATTACCAGGCCAGTAAATCAATGCATAATCAAAGTAAATTCATTGGATTGCTCAATAGGCAAATTACGCAGTATTTATAAGGACTTCCCATTGTTAATAATTTACTTTATTTTTGGGACTAGTTCTAGTGAAAGCAATTAAGTTCTTCTATTATTTATTGCCCTGACACACCACCATTTTCAATTTTATGACCCAAAGAAAGTCGTAAAAACAGATTAGTTTTAACAAGCAATTACTCAAACCTTAAATAGCAATTTAACAAGGACTCTCGTCAAGCTTGGGCCCTGGCCACTGGCCATTGCCAACTTCCACTGCCACTTTGGCCCCCGGGCATTGTGCAACTCTTTATCGATTCGAAAAACCATTTAGATGTGGCCGGCCGCTCATCAAGGCCCGGCAGCTATTAAATATAAATTCGACAAGCCATCCACTCGGCCATCTGCAGTTGACCCAAAAAGCCACTCGTCAAGGGACGGACTGGGCCGAAAACTAAAACTCACCAATCATTGAACGGTTCGAAGTGGAAACACTGAATACTAACAATTTCGCGAAATGCATCTGCATTTTTTGGGGTGGTGGCGGAGGAGAGTTCAACCGAAAGTCTGGCTCATTAATAATGCAGCTCTCGCATATGGAGCTCCATTGGCCAGGTCACGCCTCCCTGTTCCGCCTCCCTTGGCAACCACTATCCCTTCCGGCCGGCCACACCAACTTCACGGATCCAACTTTGCCGCGACTTCCGCCGCTCGTTAGGCGATGGCTTGTGAAATGAGCTCCGACGTTCATTGCACATTATGGCCCACGTCCTGTATGGCTTCTGTTGCTCTTTTTCCAGCCTTCCTCCTTTTTATTTTGCATAATTACATGCGGTGGCTGCATTTTAAAGAGGCCCCCAACCACGCCCGTCCAAGTTAATAAACAATTTGCACTCCTTATGGCCGAAAGGCGCCTCCTTGGCTGCGCATTATTCGTTAATTACTTTTTAATTGCACAGGCAATAGCTCAAGTTCGAGCCAAAATTCGTTTCGCTTTCCTTTTTGGCCTGACCTCGGTGCGTATACTTAATGTTTCGCTTCATGGACACACATACATCGTAATACATACGTATGTATATGTAAATATGTACAAATTTTGGTAACTTTTCTAAGGTTTCCCGTTGCGTCATAGGCGTATCCACTTTGCATGTCCCTGTGGCTCAGCAGGAGGGACTTTTTTGGGTTTTTTTTTTTTTTTTTTTTTGTAAGGATGTCAGCCGGGGGAGCCAACTAAATTAAATTACTTGCCTTTTAGAGCGATTGTCATGATGAGTCACGGCTAAAAGTGTGCAAATTGTTGAGCCTGCTCTTCTTTCATTTTTCGGCTATGACGAAGGTCCTGCTGATTTTTTTATGCTGCTACCTGAATTTTAAATTTTAAGAACTTAAAGATACTCCTACAGCTTATTTGGATTATTAGAAGTTAGAAGTGTCAATAAGGAATATCATGTCTTACCTTGATTATAAGTTTTGAAATCATATAGAGAGTCATGATTGCAATTTCCGCTTCTATCCTGAAAATATGCTCACCGTTCAACTATTCACACTTAAGGATATTTATTTAAAAGGCTCACAAGCGCCCTGATTACGTGCTAGCAATACTTAAAGGAAGATCACAAGAAACAGTTGCCCTCAATTGCAACGTAGAGTGCCATCCATCGGTGGCAGTGGGAAAGGACACTGAGTTAATCACGCCGCCTGCCCCCATAAATCTGAACTGATGTTGGAGGAGACTCTAGAGAATTTTCATTCCCCATTCCTCCGTAGAAACCCCTTCCAAGTTTGTGGAAATTCCGTCACGTCACCAAGAAGCTGTCAATGTTGTTGCTCAGCGTGTTGTTATCCTCCTGCTCGTCCTTTTCGTCCTGATTACCCTGCTGGCCCGAAACCGTAGGCCACTGATTGACAAACGTCTGTCTGGTGGCGTTTGGTGGCAATTTGTAGGCAATAGGCAGCCGAGGAGCCAGCGAGACAATGGCCCTTGGTCGGCTGTTCTTTCCAAACGGCTTGGCGTCGTTCGTTTCCAGGAAGAATTTACCTCGTAGTCTGTCGGAAAAGGATATCAGGATATCAGGTGAAGTTTAAAGTGGAGGGAGATTGGTTTCCTCACCTGGGATCTGCTCCCATCCCCATGAAGGATGGGCTGTTTCCTGGCTCACGACAGGCGCCAATCGATTCAGAGGACTCGCAGCGCTGGGAGGGAAAGCTTTTTGGTTGGCCCACACTCTCCACAAAGTACTCCCAGGCACGTTGGTGACTGCAGCCAACTATGAGATAAATAGTCCACCCAATAGAATCCTTTTTCCAGTGCATAAAGCAATAAATAGCTGATACTCACTAATTATGCCCAGCCAGCGATTATTGGCAATTTCCTGTTTGGCGCAACCCGGCTGCAGGGGTCGTCCCCCATTCGGATAGAAATCTGCATGGCCCATGGCCGTGGGGTTTCCCAGGATGCCACCATCCGTATGGATGACATCCACGAACCGGGCATCGCTGGGGGTCAGACGGCGATTAGAGCTGTTCCCCTCGAACAGAGGAAGAGCCGGATCGAGAGCCGTTATCCTGGTTAGCTTGATGCCCCACTCCTGCAGCTGTTTTCCGGCAAATCCGGCCACCTCGGCCCCCAGGCTGAAGCCTATCAGATGGATGTGCTTGGCCGGATAGCGCATGTCTATGAGATAGCGCAAAAATCGGGCCAAATAACGGGCCGTCACCGGGAGATTCTCAACGGAATTTGAATACCAGGGCACCGCTGTCATCGCACTCCAGTCCACAAGAATGACATTATAGTTGCCCCGTCGCAAAAACGCTGCAAAGAGGGAAATTCAGGGTTTTTGTCTTTCCGGTGGGGCGTTGCTCCACTCACCGTCCTTCAGCTCCTGACTGCTCTGCTTTTCGCCGGTGGCCGATTCCGAGAAACCGTGCAGATAGATGGCCAGCGGGTAATTGAAATTGAAATTGCTCTGCGCCAGCCGGGCATCGTCGCCCAGGTGCAAGAGCTGGGCTGTGTTGCGGTTCTGCCTGAAATAGATCCGAAATTTTGATGACCCCTCAGTATGCATGAACTGTTCTGTATTTCAATTTCTTACCTTGTGTAGAGCATAAACTTTATGTCCTCGCGCTCTTTAATTGCACAGCAGCTGGCGCAGGATCCCCGGGGCGCAGCACTGTAGAAGATGGGGGAACCCGCTGGAAGTTAAGAATATGACATTTAAATTAATAAGGAGAAACACAAGAAACTTGGGGGATAATAATAGAAAGCTGATAATCTTGTTGGTTTTCTTTATAAAATGATATTTGGTGGTGTACCTCCACAATCATCCCTTTTAAAGAATTAGGAATAATTTATAATAAATTATATAAGAGATATAAATCTAATATTCTTAAATTTATAATACTAAGGCATCCGGCTCGTCACTTTGTCCGGATGGATCGTCCGGATGCCGGACTTTGATTCTTATTCTTAACGATGGACCAATTCCGATGCCAACTTCTTAAAGCTTTTATCAATAAATTGTCCTTAAACTATGTTGCAAACATTGTTTACTAGTATGGCTATGTGGTATTTAAATTTTCTTTTATTTATAAATCAATTTTTAGGTTTATCTTGTCACTAGAATAATAAACAACTAATATACAATATAACAAAATAAGTAACAAAATATATAACCACCTTACATCACCAAGCGGAAATCGAACTTGTGTCAAGTGCCAAAAAGTGAACAAGTTTATTTAGAGCTTCGAATACAAAACTAATTGATTCATTAGCTTCATTAACTGTTTGGCAACGCGTCGGAAAGCCAGGTAGCAGCCATAACCATAACCATAACACTAACAAATCGTAACAAGCCGCACAACATTAACAAAAGTCAAGCCCAAGTAAAAACAAAAACAGTAGCCAAGAAAACAAAAACGAAACTAGCCCCTCAGAAGCTCAACTTGGCCCTGAACTTGAGTTAAATTAAATGAAGTAGAATGGTAAATGCGGCTGAAACGAAGTTGGCCCACAAATGTGGCAGTAACCAAAGTGGCAGCACGTGACGCATACGCCGCGTGTTACGCTGCCGAAATATTTCGATAAAAACAAGTTTTTTATTTGCATCAGGTTTTCGATATTCACACGGCGAGAAGATAATTCACATTGATGGCTAGTGGACTGAAGTGGCTAAGAAGAGGCAATAGCCGTATTCAGTGGGTCAATCACAGGCGGGGGGCATGTCAATGACACTGACTTTTATCATACATTGTATCTTTGGTATCATCGGCCTTTTTTGTTTTGCTACACATATTTGGCTTTAACTGGATACGGATACTGCTCGTACGGTTGATTAGATGCCAAGTAACAATGATGAGGATGGCCTTAGCCAATGCCAGGTTCATTTGCGATTCTGGCCACTTATCACCTTCCGTATTGTGAGGCACAGTATTGCAAGCTTGAATTGCAAATAAACAAAATGGAAACTATAACAACTTTTAAATGGTTTTTTGTGGCTAACAGAAAATTAGGAACTATTTGAGATACTTTTTCTACTTACAACCAAATATCTTAACCACTTATAATTACCAGCTAGTGTATTTTTATGCCGATTTCCTTATTTTTTATTGACCAAGTTATACTCCAAATTTTATGTATGTGGCTTAAATATCTCTTATTTATGTTAATTTTTTTAGCGGCTGAGCGGAAGAGTTTGTCGCGCTTATTTATGAGGAATGTTTTATAGTTGTTGCTGGTTTTGCCATTAAGTTTTTTTTACTTTTGGTTTTCTTTGTTTTGTTTTTCTTTGCCTTTGTTTCCACATTGTTTCGCGACGTCATGCCGTGCATTTAATTTGTAGTTCTTTTTTTTTAATTATCACGCCGCTGGGTTTAATTTAAATGTTCGTTTGGCCGGCACTTCATTTGTAAGTCTTACTCAGAACTTTACGGGTACCGGCTTTATGTTTCTAGTAGGAGTGTGATTCCCAAGCTGACATCGAAAACGTTAAGAATGTCTTTATGGGTTTGAGGTAATATTTCTCAAAACTTTAGTGGACTACTAACAACGGGGGTTTCACATTCGGCCTCCCGGGTTGTGTTCTATTTTAGAAGAGAAGTCTCCCGGTACTTCCCCTTTTTCCTTCATGGTCCCATAGATTTCCTTCACGGCTCAATAGCCAGAGATACTGACCTACCCTAAGGCAAATATTGCCGATGGTCAACAATTGAATCTTTTGAGTGCGCGTATCAACAAAGACATCAACTTGTTTGGACATCTGCCCCTCCTTCAGTTTACAAGCCACTCCACCTTGAACTTATGCATGTAGCGTCATAGTACCGCCCCTCCGCCCACTGGAGACACGATTTCCCAGCTGACATTGAGGCAGTATCAATGCTAATAGTTGCCACAAATACGGCTACGGTTACCAATCACCAGATCTCAACTTACCCAAGACAAGTGCAAATATTTACAATGATATTCTATGGCTCGTTCTGTTTAATGTTCTGCTTTGGAATGAAAAACTAGGCATGTCTATGTTTCTCTTTTAAATTCTTTGTTTTATATATAGAAAACAGATTCTTTTGTTTCATAATTTTAGACACTTTAAACATATTAAAAATCTTTGAAATTCGCATTGAATAGCTCAACTTACCCAGTAGAAATGTAAATACATTGCATAATGTCGAGGCAGCTGGCAGAACCATGGCAAATTCCTTAAATTTGTTTAAATATCAACTTAAATCTTGCGGCGTTCAATGAACCCTTTTTTGTGTGCAATTTCAATTCACTTTCCGGCGACAAAATCAACATTCAAAATCGGTTTCCGCATTTGGTTTTGGGGCGTTGTTATTTTATTAGCTTAGCTGTGCGATAATAGCGCGAAACTTTATTACGAAAATCGCACAAATCCCCCAACTCGCGATTTCGATCGATAATGGCCACGACGGAAACTGAAACGAAAACGCACCGTTCTCGACGAGCGGCGATCAGAAAATGAACGATCGGAACTCTCAGTCCTATAAGCTAGACTCTCTGCCAGCGCCGCTGTCGCCGCTTGAGCTGCTGCTGCTTCGGTCGGCAGCGCTGCCGATCTGATAAACAGAATTTCGCGAAACCCTACGAGAAACAAAAGACTCAAGCGACAAACTTTCAGTCAGCTGTAATCCAAAATGCGTTCCGTATTTAAATAAGTTGATCAGGCATGCGAGAGGTGACAGGGATCGTAAAATAGTTTTTAATTTCCTGATCGTCGTGTGCCCATCCACCCACCACCCACTACTCCATGTCACGCATTTGAAATAGACAGTTGAGCCCACCCAGGTGATCGATGTCTCATCGGGAACCAAACAAAAAAGAGGTGAGCCGAAAAGTTCAGGCGGATCCATCTGACAGGCTGTTTGCCTTGACCAGACGCCGGCGACTTTCCGTTTCAATTCACTTATCGCCCCTCAATCGGATCCAAAACTACAACATCCGACAGCCTTAAGTCGTTCTGACCCATCCTCGGCGGATTGGATTGGATCTCTTTTGTTTGTGCGGGTCAATTAGTACGGCGCTGAGTTGCACATTAATCATAGGAACCCCATGCGAATGCCCTTTCTAAACTATATAATATATTAAGATGTTTGCAGGAAGTAAATAAATGCAAGGGTAGCGTTATAAAATATGTATTTTGAATAATTTAAGCTTTTTATACATCTTTAACTTTTAAACCTTTCAACTTTCAAAAATTCTTACAACAGGTTTGCATTTTTTTATGAAGATAACCGTTTTCTAATTAAGAAATATTATGACTTAATGAACTTGAATTATTTGTTAGGGCATTAAAGCTTCTTATTAAAGTTTACAAAAAATAATTTTAAATGCTGGCGTGCGATTTCGCGGCTTTTTTCGCAACTGTCAGCCGTGGATGGTTTTGCCAATTTTGGCTTTTTATATTTTGGGTTAATAATCCTATGATTATTTTCTTCCTCAGCCTTTGTGAGCAAATTGTACAGAAACCGCAAGTCACCAAAGTATACCAAATTTATTTTGGCTTTATTTTTATTTATATTTTAAAACTTAGTGACAAATAAATGTAAAATATCTGAAACTATGGGCACTGAAGCATAAATCCCTCAGCTGTAAACACAGATCGTGACAGATAATTGCGAAAAGATTCTTTGGACATTTGTGGTTGCGATTCGAACACTTGATTGATTTGCCATTGATTACACAATCCGCCAAATGGTAATTAAAGTATACGTCTTGCATATACATTACAAAAATCCAATTAAAAATGCAAACCTTGGCTGGCGAACAACTTGCGCGGTTTTCCAAGCGGCATTGAGGAACCACCAAGTGCAAGGTCTTTGCTGCAAAGACCACACTCAAGGAAATCCACATAAATATAACAAGTATATGGCCGAATACCAAGACTGCATTAAGGTTCTATGTTCTGAATCAAGAGCAAAGCTCATTACTCGCACTGCCACTTGAAGTCGGTCGAAATGACTATGAAAATTGCATTGAAAGTTTGGAGTGCAATGGCAACAATTACTTAACAACTTCCTCAAGCGTCTGAAAGTTTATGGCTGCACAAATAATAAGCACGCTTTGTTTGGCAACAAAGGGAGCAGCACCCAAAAATAGCCATAGAAGCTATTAATAGCTTAATTCGATCGTAAACCAGTCCATTCAATCACCTTTTAAAAAGCTGCTGAATCACAAAATTAATTACCACTCGACACAATGGATGGAGTAGTTCTTGAAAAATGGCAATATTCGATATTGATAATAAGTATAATATGTTTAACAATCCGCCTGCCGTCTGAGGTCGAACACCCAAGCTGACCTCAGAAGGCGTCTTCGACATAAAACAATCCGCAGACCAAAACAAAGCTCAAAACTGAGCACTCATTTGCATAATCACTCGTTAATTTGATACGAAATCAAACCGTTAGGCAATGCGTAGATTGCAACCGATGGCTCGATGGCTAATTTAGCATCTTAGAAATTTCGATTTTATGGTCTAAAGTGTTGGGATCTTTATGGGCATGTCAAATAGCTTCCGGCAGTGGCCTTGGGCAGTGGCTAAACTGCTGCCATGCCATCATTTACAGCTAAGCAGCTGTAAACTGAGCTGTCGCCACAGTAAGCCAAGTCAATATCTGTCGTATGTGGTCAATTAATTATGGCCTATTTGACAATTTATGGGGTATATATTTTCGACACGGGAGATTACTGAATCCTCTTAACATGATATCTTTGGCAACTAACAAGGGGCCTGGTTAAAAATAGTTTGTTTGGTTAAAGAAAGGTACATATATTCTCCATCAGTTAAGCTACTCGTAAAAAACTTCTTCTTAGTAAAACGCTTCTGTTTCAGACCCAATTAATAAAAAGAAAACCTAAAATATTCCATAATTAAAACAGATAAGCTTCTTTTTGTTTAAAAAGCTGCCTACTTACAGGCGGAAACATAAACCATATCCTAAAACCAAAATAATACCCTGCTTTTGGGCTAAACTTGGATTAAAATCTTTACATTTTTTATTATTTTCTTGCAGGACAAGCTGCTGAGCAAATTGGAGGAGGAAAACGAACCAGACCCCCCCACTTCCCAGGAGGATGAGTGCGTGATCTGCATTAATGCCCGGGCCACCATGCAAACCTCGCCATGTGGCCACCGCGTCGTCTGCCGTCGCTGCTTTGTGAAGACGATCCAGAGCGCGGTGGCCCAGCGGCTACTGCCACTACGTTGTGTCATCTGTCGGGCTCGGGTTAACCGACTGACCTCCTCCTCGGGCACCTGGCGCATCCAGGAGTCGGCCAGCAGCTATTCCATGGGCGCCAAGAGCTGGGCCTCCGCCGGTGTGGCCGCTGGCGGAGTAGTGCCATCGGCCAGCTCCTATTCCATGAACGATGCGCACAGCGGACACCACACCTTCCATCAGCCCACGCTGCACAAGTCAGGCGGCGGTGGAGGAGGGGGAGGAGGCGCAGGGGGGCGGCATCATCCGCACCACTATGCCCTTCGGAATGGTCGAGTCACTCAATCGGATAGCCTTTACTCGATGAGCTCGACGGGATCGGCGGGCTCCTCGGTATCGGGCTACTCACACTACTCCAAGACGTCTTCCATATCGAGCAGCGGACCCTGCTCACCGGCCTCGCCGGCTGTGGCTTCCAGCTCCTCCCATCACCTGGCGCCTCCGTCGCCCACCACTCACCATCATCCGCATTCGCCCACGCCCTCGGCTTCCTCGGGCAGTTCCCTGTCGCCCCGGGATAACGGAGGCTCTCACTCGCATCATGGCGGCTGTCCAAGCGGTTGCTCTGGCGCCGTGCCTAGGAAACCGCTTCACTCACTTCCCAACTCCGCCTCCACATCCGCATCAGCTTCTGCCTCTTCCTCCAGTGGCAGCGGTAGCAGCAGTGGAGGCGGAGGAGTAGGAGTGGGAGTGACAGGCAGCAGTGGCATGATGACGCCGACGCACACTTATCCAGGAAGGCGGCACGTCAAGAACCGGCTGATGGACATTCACAATCGCCTGCCACCCATCAAGGAGTTCCGTAGTCCGGCCAAAGTGCCACATCCCTCGCCCGTTCATGTCAGCAACCCTAGATTTCGGTGAGATCATAAATAAGTAACTAATTATCATAGAAAAAAACACATTTGCTTTTAGGTACTCCACCTACACGAAGTCCAGTGCCCATGAACTAGCTCCTCTGCTGCGGGAATCCGGATCACCGCCGCCACCGCGTCGTCCCAGTCCCATGAACATCCAGCTAAGTTGCTCTGCCCTGGCCCCGCCCCCTTTGAAGGCGGGCGGGGCAAAGATCTGTCCGGTGACCTCAAAGAATTCGCTGCCCAAAAATGCCTATACCATGCCCAAGGACAAAAAGTCTTCTGGATCATCCGGACCCATGGGTAAGAATAGTGGCACTGCCGGAAAAAGTAATCCGCCAGGAGCTGGTGGCCCAAGAGCATCGACGGGAAGCACGGCCACCACTTCCGGGTCAAGTGGATCAGGATCTGGGTCTGGATCTGGTTCGGGAACAGCCAGTCATCTCAAGCCCACATCAAGCTCTTCCAGTCGCAGTTTTCCGCTTTTCTCCGCCGGCAGTAATCAGAGTAAGTTCTTAGTTCTTAGTTTTTATAATAATTAGTTGCCTAATTATGGAACATAATTAATTTCAGGAGAGAAGGCTGACAATAAGAAGAACGAATCCGTTGAGCGGAAAAAGAAGGAGGAGAAGCTCAAGCTGAAGGCTGAGAAGGAAGCCAGAAAGGTGGGAAAAACTATATGAAATTTTGTAGTCCCCATTTTTCCGTCTTTTGTCGGGGAAATGCATTGTTTCTCCCGCCCGCCCAAAAATGGAAGAAGCCAACCCCTGACCCTAGTACTGACTATTTGTATTGTTTGTAATTGGCCTCGTTCCCCTTTTTTTGTGAGTTTCCAGCTGCTGTGGAAAAGTTTTTCATTAATCGCGGGCGAAAGGGGTTAGGGAAAGTGGGAGGTTGTGGGGATGGTGGACTTTTGTGCCGACAAAGCATAAATTTTCAAACTTGTAAGCAGGCTAAAAGGGGGCTCATAAAGCGCAAGCCATTCGAATTTCCTTCTTTATGATTTCCAGTGCATGCAAATAAAGTTGTGCACTGAGCAAAACTTGAAAGATATTTGTTTCATGCCAATATCATATTTTTGCAGGAGGAGAAGCGACTGGCCAAGGAGGAGGAGCGTCTGGCCAAGCTGCATGCCAAGGAGGAGAAGAAACGCGGCAAAAAGGAGGCCAAGGAGCTGCTTTTGGCCAACGATGGAAACAGCAAGAAGTGAAGTCAAGCCGAGAAACCCAATTAGCCAGCAAAAATGCATATTTAAAGTTGCAATTCTAGGAGTAAGCCCATCACCCAGTTACCGTACTATATCAATTCAGATCGTATCGGATCAAACCAGATCAACTTCACACAAAGCCCAACCACACATTACCATAAAAGAACGAGCTTGATTTAGGGATAATATTTTGTCAGTTAGCCGTAAATCGTTTTGGACAGTTTCAGGCCAAATCTTGGTTAGAGTATTTAATTTTTAAGCAAGAGAGGATTATTTTTTAGCCTTGTTTAACTCTTAAGTGGCCTATTGAAACTACTTGCAAAGAAAACGATGCCAAACCTTTGTATGAATGATAAACTTTTTGGCAGAAACTATTTAAACAAAATTTGTTTCGGCTTTAATTTTACTTAGGCCTTGGTTCACACTGACAACTTTCATAACTCTTGGAGGTCTAGAGATATGGTAAAAGTATGATTGTATCGCTACCTTTGGTTCCTCAGCTCATCTGTCTCATTAGCAATTAAAAGGTTGTTAACAAATACTTCAATTTAAACAGATTCGGATAGATAGATTTCGTGTAAAAGAACAATAGAGAGATTTACTTTTTACTTTCAAATTTCCGGATACTAGACTTTACTATGAAACCAATGTAACCCGATTTAGGAGAGAGCCACATCTCAAGATATAGTTTATAAAAGATAGAACCAAGACCACAATAAGGCCAACTGATGTTAGAGCCAAGCTTTAACATAAGTGAGTCTGAATCCGGCTAAATAATTAATTATGTACTTACTAACAATAAATGTCGATCAACCAAAGTGTTAACATGTTGACTAACAAATTACAAAAATGAGAGCATATTAAAGTAGTTTTCATATACCCCTCTATATATATTATATATATAAAAATCTGTAACTGTAACTAAATCTATAGATTCCATACCAATATTGGAAACTGTTCAAGCGGCAAACATAAGCAATGTTTCGATGTATGTACTATGTGTAAATGTATTACCAAGATTGTTTTAAAAACAGGAAAAGAGATAAAGAAACCGGAACCCAATAAAGGATCAATTATGTTGAAGATTGTTCTATTAATTTGGTGATTGTTTCCTCCGCGAGTCGCTGTTTGGCTTTCAAACATCTCTGGAAGACCTTCTGAAAGATGTAGGGCAACTCGTCACGACACTTAAGGTTTCCCAGTTTATGGAGGGCTCCGTAATCCAAGCAGTCTATAACTTCATCATTGTTGCAGTCCTGACCGTGTTTATGCATAAAGTTCTGGACCGTATTGGCAGCACAATAGGGTTCATTCACACAGTTGGTAAAGGCTGTGGTGGGAAGTTTATATTATATAATATATAGAAAGTAGATTATCTTGAAAAACTGAACGTACCATCATTGGAAAGAGCTGTATCATTCGGTAAGGTCAACTCGCCAGCTTGTACCCAGTAGCCCCAGGTGATGCGGAATATGCCACAGGCCCCATTTACGCAAATGGCCGAGGAATTGCAACCACTCATTGTTTCGCACAAACAGTCCAGGCAATCTTCCGTGACGGGCTTATTTGTCACTTTGGATACACAGAGGAAATAAATGCAACAAAACTATTAGAAATATTTTAAAACTACCAACGTGGACTTTTGCTGAACAAACTCTATTTTGGTCAGGAATGAAAAACAATTACCATACTAATTACTTACCCTCATAACTGGAAATACAGTTCATCAGTAGCCACAAGCTAGCCAAGTTAACAAGTAACCTAAACATATCGGAGCTGCAATACCGATCGAATACAGAGAACCCGTCCTACAGTCGCCGCTCAACTGATCTCAGTTTACTACCAGACACTTGTTTATTAATCAAGAGTAACACTTCTATTAGTAATTAGTATTGCCATATTCGCACATAAATTATAGTGACTCTTCCTTATAAGTTAGTGGCTAAAATCTAGATAGAAATTTCTGACGTTCTTCCTCCAGTTGCACAGCCTTTCTCACACAACAGGTAAAGGTTCTGTCGTAAAAATAAGGTAGGTCCTCTTGGCAGTTCCTGGGACCCTTATAGTGTATAGCCCCATAATCGTAGCAATCCTCCTTATCATCATCGTTGCAATCCTGTCCAAACTTGGCCATATAGCTCTGCACAGTTTCGGCGGCACAAATAGGATCATTGGCACAGTTTGTAAAGGCTAAAAAAATATGTTTTAAGATTGGATTGGTCAAGGAAGTACGAGCTTGTCTTACCATGGTACGATAAAGGTGAGTCCCCTGGAATTGTCAACCGGCCACTGTCCACCCACCGATTCCAGTTAATCCGAAAGATGCCACATGCCCCGTTGACACAAACAGCCGTGGCATTGCAACCATTCAATGCCTCGCAAATGCAATAGAGGCAAGACTCTGTCACCGGTCTTCGTATCTTGGCTTGAATTCCAATGGCCAGGCCAAACAAAACAACTAGAAGCTTTGCTACTAAATGCATTGTTAAGCTCACAGATTTTTATTTACTTCCGATTCGATGCGATTCGAGATTGCTCACTCACTGAAACGTTCTGAACAATGGCAACCGACTTTTATGAAATACCAAGCCGTCAAAAGTAATTATCGAGTGCTTTAGAAAAGTATCAACATAGTATTCATTTCTTCCTGGGGTTATTCCCGACTTTTATTTATAAACTAAATAACATATTATGTTTTTAATCTTATTTTTTCACTCGTTACCCGCCTCTTCGTATCTTTCAATACACTCCTCGAAAATGCTCTGATACTTGTAAGGCAAGTCCCCATGGCAGCCATATGCGCCCAGCTTGTGTATCCTGGCGTAATCGTAGCAGTCCATCTCTCCGTCATCATTGCAATCCTGATTGAACTTCTTCATATAATTTTGCACCAAATCAGCAGCACAATGAGGATCGTTGGCGCAGTTGACGAAGGCCTTCTCGGCATCGGGATTTTCCCCATTTATTGTCAGTTTGCCGGCATCCACCCAATAGGCATTTGTTATGCGGAAAATGCCGCAGGCGCCCTTTTCGGGATTTGTGCAAACAGCCGTGGCATTGCAGCCACTAATGGCCTCACAAATACAGTTCAGACACAACTCCGTTACGGGTTTATCCAAGACGTGACCTAATGTATGAAAAAATGTATTACAGTTTTCAAGGAATTTAATTACCAACCTTGACACCGTACTAAAGTGGGCGATAGGGTCAGCACTAAAAACAGAATACACCTGAAATAAACTCTCATATTAATTGCCTTGATTGTATCGCTTCAGCACCTGAAATGCGAATGAAACCTACTAGCCCCAGGGAGTGAGTACTAACCTGGTAAATACGCCAATCTAGCGGGAAATACCGGTTTTTAGGGCGCATTTACACTTAATATTCTCGATTTCTGTCTAACATAAAACAAAATATCGAATAAACAAAACAAATATTTTAAAAACACTACGAACCAGACTTAATAAGTTTAATAAACTATTATTTATTATATGCAAAAACTTGTTCTTATTATGTTAAATCTTTTCAAGGTAATCACATTACTTTCTTTTTATCAAAAAGTATGCTACAATATAAATGTTTTTGCAAGCTATTTTGCACGGGCAAATATTATTATTTACATAGCTATCAGATCAGCTAAAATTTACGAAGCTAAAATGTATACTATATAATATAATCGTATATAATATAATGCTAGTCATGTCTATATATTTTCTAACAATCGTCAGTATCTTTAGCGGAGCTGCAATACCGATTGAAAACCGATGACCCGTCCTACAGTAGCCGCTCAACTGATCTCAGTTTACTACCGGACACTTTTTATTAATCAAAAGTAACACTTCTATTAGTAATTAGTATTGCCATATTCGCACATAAATTAAAGTGACTCTTCCTTATAAGTTAGTGGCTAAAATCTAGATGAAAATTATTCCCAGATGCATCTCAATTGGATTTCTGACGTTCTTCCTCCACAGCTTTTCTCACACAACTGGTAAAGGTACTTTCGTAATAAAAAGGTCTGTCCTCTTTGCAGTTCCAGGGACCCATATAGTGTATAGCACCATAATCGTAGCAATCCTCCTTATCGTCATTGTTGCAATCCTGTCCAAATTTGGCCATATAACTCTGTAGAGTGTCGGCGGCACAAATAGGATCATTGGCACAGTTTGTAAAGGCTAAAAAAAATGTTTTATGGTTGGATTGGTCTATGAAGTAAGAGCGTATCTCACCATTGTCCGATAAAGGTGAGTCCCCTGGAATTGTCAACCGACCACAGTCCACCCACTGATCCCAGGTAATCCGAAAGATGCCACATGCCCCGTTAACACAAACAGCCGTGGCATTGCAACCATTCAATGCCTCGCAAATGCAATAGAGGCAAGTCTCCGTCACAGGTTTTCGCATCTCGGCTTGAATTCCAATGGCCAGGCCAAACAAAACAACTAAAAGCTTTGGTACTAAATGCATTGTTAAACAAATTTTTATTCCGATTCACTTTCGATTCGATGCGATTCACGATTGCTCACTCACTGAAACGTTCTGAATAATGGCAACCGACTTTTATGAAATACCAAGCCAGCAAAAGTAATTATCGAGAGCTTTAGAAAAGTATCAACATAGTATTCATTTGTTCCTGGTGTGATTCCCGACATTTATTTATAAACTAAATAACATAGTTAATCTGTTTTTAATCTTATTTTTTCACTCGTTATCCCCCTCTACGTATCTTTCAATACACTCCTCGAAAGTGGAGAATTTTTTTTCATAACATATTTTTTTTTACATTTTTTATAAAAATTTCTGTGGGATCCCCTTCAAAATGTAGAAAAATGCATGGAGGCCCCATATGACCCATAGAGAAGGCCATATCTTTGCCAATAATCATCCGATTCTTAAACGGAATACCTCAAACGATTTGTAGATCGATTCTCCACAAATCTGCATCAAAATCTGAGAAGATAATTTTTTTGTCTGATTTTCCGAAGGATTCCCTTCAAAACGTGGAAAAATGCATGGAGGCCCCGAATGACCCACAGAGAATGCCATATCTTTGCAAATAATCATCCGATTCTTAAACGGAATACCTCAAACGATTTGTAGATCGATTCTCTACAAATCTACATCTGAGAAGATAATTTTTTTTAGATTTTGTGTCATATTTTCTAAGGGATCCTCTTCAAAATGTGGAAAAATGCAAGGAGGCCCCATATGACCCACAGAGAAGGCCATATCTTTGCCAATAATCATCCGATTCTTGAGCGGAATACCTCAAACGATTTGTAGATCGATTCTCCACAATTCCTTCATGTGAACAAAAAGTATCAATTTATAAAACACTGAATATTTACCGAAATCTATATATATAAAAGAACATCGTGTTTTATGTTACACCACTTATAAATCAAGAACGGAAGAACAGATTTGAGTGAAAATTGGTAGGGAGGTAGCTTAGAGCCAGGAGAAGGACATAGGATACTTTTTGTCCCGTTCGACAGCGTTCCTCCCTGGCCCATACTTTTTTATTTAGGCAGACAGCTAAGAAGAAAATGTCAAATGTCAAAATGTCAGTTACAAACGAAGTCAAATTCATAGTCAGGCTCTCAAATTTAACAACGAACCAAAAAGATTGTGTTGCGCTGAAATCAATATTAAAACTATTTCTATTAAATAAATAATTAACAAGTGGATTGAAGTGAAGTGAAGTTTAATTAATAATGCCGCGACCAAGACGGTCGAATCTCTCCCGACAAAGCCGTAATGCAAGAAGAATACAAAATATTGCATATGAAAGGACTGAAGAAGAACGAGAAATTGCACGTGAACAGCGCCGCAATAGTATGGCTCGACTTCGTGCTTCTCAAATAGATTTCAATTTGCGACGCAGATATTTAGCTGATTTGAATCGAGCTGCGTTTCGATACGATTGCAGCAATGATTACAGCTTGCATCCTAGCGTTTGCATTGGGCAAATGGACGTTGTTTGCGAGTATTGTGGTGCATTAAAGTTTTCCGGAGAAACGCCTGGATTATGCTGCGTTAATGGTAAAGTGAAATTGCCAGTGTTGACTCCGCCACAAGAGCCATTGTATTCATTGCTTTGCGGCGAAACACAAGAATCACGCCACTTTCTTGCAAATACTCGAAAATACAATAGTTGTTTCCAAATGACGTCATTTGGGGCAGACATTATCGAAGAAGGAGGTTTTAATCCGACATTTAAGGTATTTATTTTTGTACTTACATAGAATGTAGTTAAAGAATCTGGTTTTTATTTTGTAGATGCAAGGACAGATTCACCATCGAATTGGATCATTACTACCTTTCGAAGATACACAGAATAAATTTTTACAAATATATTTCATGGGCAACATGGAAGAACAACTTGATCGACGCCTAGGGATCAATGCAGGAATGAAGCGAGCAATTCTTCAAGACTTGCAGTGTCTGCTTCATGAACATCATGCGTTGGTCAGGTTGTTTAAGAGTGCTTTAGAGCGCATGCCAAATGATGACTATAAAGTTGTCATCAAAGCAGATAAACGACCATCTGGAACACACGAACGCACATTTAATGCTCCAACAGTAGACGAAGTTGCCATCCTGATTGTTGGTGAACAAAATGAAGATGAAGCCACCAACTATCCAATTGAATTTTTAAACTCTTTGGACGTGCCTGGCTTACCACCGCACAATTTACGCCTAAAGGTTGGCTCCGTAGTAATCATGCTTCGAAACATAAACCAACCAAAACTGTGCAACGGTACGCGTTTGGTGGTTAGTAAATTGATGAACAATGTAATTTACGCTACGATAATGATAGGAAAATTCAAAGGTGAGGAAGTTCTCATTCCGAGGATCCCGATGATCCCAACCGATATGCCGTTTGAATTTAAAAGACTTCAATTTCCGATACGTCTTGCATTTGCCATGACAATCAACAAATCACAAGGCCAATCCTTAAAAGTTTGTGGTTTAAATCTAGAACATTCATGTTTTTCCCATGGTCAATTATACGTGGCATGTTCACGGGTCGGAAGACCATCTGCGTTGTTTGTTTTTGCGCCTGATAATAAAACAAAAAATGTCGTGTATCACAAGGTGCTTAAGTGAAGAGCAACCTATGTACTAAAATACAGAAATAATAATGAATGATTAAGGAGGAGAAACAAAGAATATTGTATACCCACAAGTATTACAGAATTTAATTAATTTGAAAATTATTCTTTTTTGTTTGACTTATTTTTTATGCGTGCAACAACAATATGCCACAGCGAAACGTGGCAGGGTACTGCTAGTATTCTTATGTATTATATTCTCATAATATTATTTTATTTTCAATCTCGTTTGTGCAATCTTATTCAAAGTCACTTGCATTGCCATAAATTATTAAATTTTAGATTAAATTTAGAGGTTACACTGCTGTGTTAACCAGAAGATTGTTAACCAGAAGTGCGAACGTCAATGGGTTGGAACTGATTGAGGCAGTTGGTCAATTGAGTTTGGTAATGGTAGCCCAGCTCGCCCTTGCATCCGTATCCGCCCAGTTTGTGGATGGCGGCATAATCGTAACAGTCGACGTTGTTGTCTCCATTGCAATCCTGGCCGAACTTGGTCATGTAATTTTGGATCGTGTTCGCCGCGCAGTATGGATCGTTTACACAATTGGCATAAGCTGAAAGATGAATGGAGTACGATTAAAATCAATAAATCTGAAATATGGATGTGCCTGACTTACCCTCCTCCGACTGGGGACTCTCGTTGCCCAAGGTCAGCTTGCCTCCGTCGGACCAGTAGGCCCATGTGATGCGAAACAGGCCACAGACGCCGCCACCGCAATACCGGGTCTGATTGCATCCACTGATGGCCTCGCAGATGCATCCTAGGCACACATCAGTCACAGGCTTATCTGCTCGGGGGGAAAGATCAATTTAATCATTCCATTTATAGAGATTATTAAAGTCTAAAGCAAGGTATTTTGTCATCGAATTCTATATTTTAATGTGCCTATATTCATTTGAAAGAGCAGTCACGAAACTGAAACTGGATTTGTGTCACACATTCTTTACAGACCATGTCATCGCTTTGTTCAGAGCATTCGGTAATGTTTTGATATTTTAGACTAAACTTTAGAGTAAGTCAGTCAAGAAATAAGGTAACTCACACTTCTGAGTATAATCAAGGAGTTTACCATTAAATTAACTAAAAATAGTTATTAATTATAAAATATATTGGATAAACTAGAAGCTACTCTTCCAAATGTACGCCCATGAACCTGAGAAAACTGAATCTTTCCGCTGAATCTGTCGGCAGCAGTCTCCATATATTTTTTTATCGAACTAGTTTTGCAACTTTCAATGGCAACATTGAGGCATCTCCGCAGATCGAACCCAGCGGCTGCCCGTAGGCGAGGATGAGTCAATAAAATTCACGTTATCAGACCTTGTTCTTGTAATTAAATATTTTTTAACGAGTTTTGAAAATTCGCGTTGCCATGAAGTTGGCTAGCAAACAAAAAAGTTCTCCATCATTTTGGCTCACCCACACGCTTTATATTCTTAAAGTTTCTGGGTTCGGTGACCTATGTTAAATAATCTTGAAAGGCTCCGAAATCAGGTCAAGATTTAAGATGGCTCGACTCTCAAGAACCCAATCGAAATATCAACCAAAAAACTGAATCAAACCTTGTTGATATTTTTTTAAATTTTAATTAAACAAACATGCTGGGTTTTAATGGGATTTTCCTTGCCCTGAGATAACCCACACGCAGTCAGAGATAATGCTTATAGACTAACGTCATCACATGTCACGAAGGTGGGAATTTTGAATCAGCTCTATTTGACAAACAATAGAGCCCCACGCTGCACTTTGAAGTTGGGGAAATTTTCTTTAAGCTACATCCTTTTCGATAAATAAATTGATAATTGATAGCTAATTACCCCTTTTTAAGTCTTTATTTTATTAAAATATTTTATTCGTATGAGCTCACCACCGATTACACAAAACTACTTAATTCGATTGATTGATAGCTAATTTGAAAATGTTTAACGTTTAATAAGTTTCCGCGTAATGTAATGGGGTATAAAATCGGAAGTAATTTCAATGGCAATAATGTGTTATTGAAAAAACCGGCAAAAAGCATTCAACGGCCCGTGTTTGAAATGATAGATTCGCCAATAATCTTCGATACAAAATCCATCCAAAATCCCCTACCACTAATGGATGTTTGTCAACTTTGCGGTGCTCGCTGTATGCAAATGCGGATCCGTAAGACCTTTGTATATGGGAAATCCATCTCAGAACGAAACATGTCTTGTCGCAGAACAAAAGAAGCAAATACCAAACAAATATCTACACAATGGCTAATTAATGTTAATGAATTCAGCGAATCCAGTGGAGCAGACGAGCAGGTATTTGTAGTTCGCTTTAAAAGCTAATCTACACCAAATGCGTAACAAATTTTAAAGCGTAACAATAACAAGAACTCAAACGTTCCTCCCATATAATACCTATAGTTTTCGATTTATTTTGACTCACCCTGGGCTTGAATGAGAGCAGCGAATCCCAGGCACAATAAAGCGCCAATGGCCAGAGTGCAGCACAGCTTGTTGGCAGCCATTTCTATTAATACTTTTTTGTCCGAAAAATATTTGTTTCGATTGCAATTGCAGGCACCTGCACACCTTTATTTCTACACTATATTTGATGCGAATTGTTCGGTTGAAGAAGATCAACTGAACCTGACGGACATGGGGCTTGACTTTTTTGTTATCAAAAGCTCGGCCCAAAGCTCTAAAACGAAAGACTCAAGCTGAGAACTTTGGAGAGGATGAGATGCAATCTATGAGATATGAGAGACAACTCGCTAGTTAAGAGACTTTAAAAGTATACTTCGAGGGGCGTGTAAATATATAAACTTTACCGATAAAACTGATCAGAGGTAGCTTAAGCTAAAAAACAAAAGACTTAGGCTGCGAACTTTGCGATAAAATATATATATGAAAGAATAGTCTTTAAAACATCTTTTATATTGTTACTCTGCTCAATTGAATTTATTCAAAATATATGAATCTCAGTGTTTAGATCTTGTTGAAGGCAGCAATGTCGACAGACTGAACAAAGTCCTCGAACTCCTCAATCTTTTCCTGCAGCAGATCAATGGACACCTTGTCATCCTCGATGACGCACATGATCTGCAACTTGTTGATGCCGTAGCCAACAGGCACCAGCTTGGAAGCACCCCACAGCAGACCGTCCATCTCGATGGTGCGGACGTTGTTCTCCATCTCCTTCATGTCGGTCTCGTCATCCCAGGGCTTGACATCGAGGAGCACAGAGGACTTGGCAATAAGGGCGGGCTTCTTGGACTTCTTGGCGGCGTAGGCGGCCACACGCTCCTGCTTGATGCGCTCGGCCTCGGCATCCTCCTCGTCGTCGGATCCGAACAGATCGACATCATCATCATCATCAGCAGCTGGCTTAGCCGGAGCGGCCACGGTGGGCTTACCACCAGCCAGCTGGGGCAGAGGAGCTCCAGTCCATGCGGAGCGCTCTGCAGCCTCGAAGGAGGCGATGTGACGGTACCAACGGGCAACGTTCACAAAGTCTCCAGCCGGAGCCTTGCCCAGAGCATCGAACACAGACAGATCGGCCTTGCTTGGTGCGTACCTGGAATATAGTCAAAAAAGTTTGTTAGAAAGTTTTCAATCAGAATGCCGACGTGGTGGAGCTGGACATAACCTCACTTCGCATGCCGCGTGCTTACCCGCTGATGTAGCTGTTGTCGGCCAGGAAGTTGTTCAACTCCTTGAGTCCTTGGGGGGTCTTAACGTCACCGAAAGCCATTTTAGATACGTTTATTTTTTGTTAAATAAGAATAAACGGTCGTAGCGCCGTGCTCTGGTTGATGATTGTGGGAAGAAGAAGGAAATTTCCAAAGGTGGCCATATCGGGAAAAATTGTTTTGCTCCGGCAACGACTATTTAGCGTCTATCGATAATAAAAATATATCCCAGCTAAAATGCAAAAAAAAAAAAAAATAATAAAACCTATCTTGTATAAGAGAAATGTATTAATAAATTTATTAAAACCATGCCAAAGAAATCTTAAATATTAAAATTTTTGAAACAAAAAGACAACCCTTTAAAATTCAGTACTGGAAAACACAAAACGGCAAGCGAAAATTTTCGCAGTTCCTGGTTCCAGTGTTGGTAAGTGGATAAGAAAAATTGACGCTGAAAAAAATCACCGCAGGCCGCTGAAAAATTAGATTATACGTGTTAAAACACCGTAAAAAAGCCAAATAAAAACGTAAGCATTAAAGCTAACTGACCGGCAAGTGGAAGTAAACAAAGAAAAACATTGAAATAACTGTACCACACTTTGGCAGCGGCTTTCCAAAATCTCGCCCCCTTTGGTTATTGAATTTTCAACTCGTGGAGGGAGAATATCGTGTTCGTAGATTGTAAAACAAATATTAAAAAAACGGAGACTAAAGAAGGCACTAAAGTGAAACACCAAGATGAGTGACTTCCAGACGCAGCAGGCCAGCATTAGCCAATCCCAGGCCCTGGCACAGGCGATAGAGCGTGCCAAGCAGGTAATAGGCGGTGCTGGGCGAAGAAGAAGAAGAAATGACTGATTAGCCATGTGTGTGTATGCCTTTGAATCCCTTTTTAGATTGCAGCCAAGATCCAACCGAACCAGCCCGTCGGACAGGTCGGACCCTCGCCTCCATTTGGTGGACCCGGATCGGGGGGTGGTGGTGGCGGCGGCGGCGGGGGTGGTTCCGGCTTCAAGCGCCACAATGATGACGGGGATAGCGGACCTGATTGCAAACGCTCCTTCGGCAGTCCAGACTACGGTCAAGGCAACAACTCCAACATGAGCAGCGGAAGTGGAGGGGGTGGTGGTGGTGGAGGTGGAGGCGGTGGTGGATCTGGCGGCGCCAGTATGACCCAGGCGATGGCTCAGGCGGCGGCAGTGGCAGCGAGATTGGCAGCATCCGCCGGCACCTCATGTGAGGAGCAAATTCGCGTCCCAGAGTCGGCCGCTAATGGGTTCTGTGGCCGGGGAGCCAACGACACCATTACCCACATTCAGGCGGAATCCGGCGCCAAGCTGCAAATGATGCAGGACCAGGAGCGCGTGATCATGCTACGCGGTCAGAGGGACACCGTGACCAAGGCTCGGGAAATGATCCAACAGATGGCCAATCGCGCAGGCGGTGGCCAGGTGGAGGTGTTACTCACCATCAACATGCCGCCCCCTGGACCGAGTGGTTATCCGCCGTACCAGGAAATCATGATTCCGGGCGCCAAAGTGGGTCTTGTCATCGGCAAGGGTGGCGACACCATTAAGCAGCTTCAGGAGAAGACCGGCGCCAAAATGATAATTATTCAGGAGGGTCCCAACCAGGAAGTGATCAAGCCGCTCCGCATCTCCGGCGACCCACAAAAGATTGAGCATGCCAAGCAGATGGTACTGGACCTTATTGCGCAAAAGGATGCCCAGGCTCAGCAGCAGGGTGGACGAGGTGCTGCTGGAGGAGGTGGTCCTGGCGGACCTGGACTGGGCTACAACAACTTCAACAACGGCAACGGCGGCGAAAGCGTCGAGGTCTTTGTACCGAAGATAGCTGTGGGAGTTGTCATTGGAAAAGGCGGCGACATGATCCGAAAAATACAGACGGAGTGCGGCTGCAAGTTGCAATTCATTCAGGGAAAGAACGACGAGATGGGAGATCGAAGATGTGTGATTCAAGGCACTCGGCAGCAGGTTGAGGATGCCAAGCGAACCATTGACGGGCTTATTGAGAATGTTATGGTAAGCTATCTTTGAATATCTTTAACCGGCAAGCTTCTATAATCAGTGGACCCTTTCAGCAACGCAATGGTATGAACCGTAACGGAAACGGAGGCGGTAATGGTGCCCCGGGTGGTGGCGATACTGGAAACTCAAACTACGGCTACGGTTATGGCGTAAATCACGCCCAAGGTGGTCGGGAAGAAATTACCTTCCTGGTTCCCGCTTCCAAGTGTGGTGTAAGTTTTCACTTCCCTTGTTCTATAATTTTTTTCCAAAAAATAATGTACTTTTCTTAAGATCGTAATTGGACGAGGAGGAGAAACAATTAAGCTTATTAACCAACAGTCTGGAGCCCACACTGAAATGGATCGCAATGCCAGCAACCCTCCCAATGAGAAGCTTTTCAAGTCCAAGGGAACAACCGATCAAGTGGAGGCCGCTCGCCAAATGATCTCCGAAAAGATAAACATGGAATTGACAGTGATTTCGCGCAAGCCGATAGGTCCCAATAATGGTCCCAACAACGCCCACCACAATCAACAGCAGGGCGGCTATGGTGGTCCCAATCCGATGCAGGGAGGAGATCCAAATGCGGCCGGCGCCTACCAACAGCAACAGCAGCCATGGGGTCCCTATGGTCAGCAAGGATGGGATCCATCCGGACAGCAGCAGCAACAGCAAATGGCCATGGCAGCCAATCAGGGTGGAGCAGCTGCCGGAGGAGGAGCCGGTGGTCAGGACTACTCCCAACAGTGGATCGAGTACTACAAGTATGAGGGACGCCGCAAAGGAGGAGAATATGTTTTTAAAATAACATTTTTTTTAGGCAAATGGGCTGCCACCGAGAAGCTGAGATGATTGAACAGCAGATGAAGGCGAAACAGGCGGGCGGTGTTTCCGGGCCAGCCCAACCCCAGCCACAGCAGCCGCAGCAACAACAGCAGCAGCAGCAACCACAACAGCAGCAATCACAGCAACAACAGCAGCAGGCTGGAAACGCTGCTGGAGGAGCGGACTACAGTGCCCAATGGGCGGAGTACTATCGCAGTGTCGGCAAAATCGAGGAGGCAGAGGCCATTGAAAAGACGCTGAAGAACAAAGTAACTACGATGCGAATACGGCTGCCAAAACAATCTTAATTCATTTTCTTTAATGCAGCCGCAAAACGGAGCACCGGGTGGTGGCCAGGCCAGCACTCCGAATCCCGGCCAGGGCGGTCCCAATCCCGGCCAGCAACAACCCAACCCGGCTGCGGCAGCTGCTGCAGCAGCAGCGGCGGCGGCAGCAGCTGGCGGATATGGCCAAGGCATGACGCCCAGCCAATACGCACAGTATTCGCAGTATTACGCAGCTGCGGCTGCAGCTGGCGGGCAACCGTCGCAGGGAGCACCGCAGCCGGGTGGCGGGCAAGGTGGTCCTCCGGCTGGTTACCCAGGCGGCTATCCTGGTGGCGGATATGGCGGGTATCCTGGCCAGCAGCAACAGCCGAAATCGCACAAAAACGATAAACACTGAGATCCCACGATAGAAATTAGGACAAGAGGGGGAGGAGCAACGGAAGCGGGAAGGAAATGCATGTGGGAGTGGAAGAAGAAGCCGAAGTGGACGATGCTGCGTCCAAGTGGCGATGCGGGTGCCTTGCATGGGGTGAGTCCATCAACCAAGAGTCTATATAGAGAGGGGTGTGTTTTGTATAAATCGATTTGAATATTGAATTGAATTGCCACGTTTTTTTTGCTTTACGTATCTTTGCTGAACCTGTATCCCATACCGCATAAAACGCCAAACCTTTATTTTAGAGATTATCGATTATTAATACCTTGCTCCATATACAATTGACAAACAAAAACATCCACCAATTAGCCGATTACTCTGATGACGTGATATCCTAACGAAATCTTGTTTCCCATGCGTATAACTCTTTGCAGTGATCTATTGTTCTACTATGTCCTATGTCTTTTATCCCCCAAAAATAGCTTAACAGTTCAAACAAAATGGCATAAGCAAATAATTTAAAATAGAACCTAATGAATGCATCATCGACGGATAAATAGACAGCACACGGATGACGCGATACGGAGATGGAGACGGCGGCCAAAGATCCCAGGTCCCTGGCGGAGTAGACGATGAAGAGAATCAATCAGCCAATCGAGTGGATAGCAGAGACAATGTCGCACCTTCGCATTATTGTAAATTATATAAATCACTCTGTCTATTTGGATATTGCGTATAATTTTCCCCACTAGCCTGTAAGAAGTCTTTCCCAGAGATCCTAAGTCTATTACTATAATCTATTCTAACAAATTAATAGAGAAATAATGTTCTGCAGTTCATTATCATACTTTTCTCATTTACACACACACACACTCTGAGATTAGACAATTGAATCCGTTTTGGGTGTTTTGTTATCCGATCTGACATACTACTACTGACATCTATCTGCATACATTTTTCGCAAATATTTATTTTATTCTTTTACTCAATTTTACCGTCAATTTAGGCAAATCTTCCTGAACCGCAGTGGATGTGTTTCTATTATGAAAAAGACAACATTTGCGAGAGTTCTTAATTGCAATAACTGTAATACTATATATCTACCTATATCTATATATTGTGGAAAGCATAGATGATTATGATACATTTTTTATAAAAGTAGCCGAGTCCGAGTCTCTCGTGCGTAGCTTAGCTTAGTTATATAATGCAAAAAAAAACCAATTGAACAACATGATCAACGATATCGACTGGTCTGGTAAGATTTTTTAAACTTGAACATTGTATAAAAAAAAAAACGAATGTAAAATCTTGATTCTGCTGCAATATTTCGGTGCCCCTTGTTGAATCTTAACTATCTGACCTTTGCCAATTAATATTTTCACCTTTCAGTTAAGGCAGTCTATTATATTATTTATATTAGCATTAAGGAAAGCCGAAACTACTATTCATGAACTTACTACAGTTTTCTCATTTACAAATTTGGGCTATTTTATATAGCAATGTTTTTTGAAATCTTTATCACCATTATGCAAACATATATAAGTATGTACTTTCAGAGGCGGCTCGTCAGACCAGTTATTCTTTAAAGAATACCGAAAGCAAAACCCCAAAACTAAATCACACTTTTAAAAAACGAAAACATGAACAAATTCAAACAAAGATATTGTCAAACTTGGTAAGATCGTGTGTTGTTATTACTGTCTATATAAAATTATTGATACTGAAAATCCAACAATGAATATACTTACTCAAATGAATGTAGGTCTACCATAATATAACATACAAACATATATATATATATAAAAGTAACTTTGGTATAATCTAAACTAAGTTTTACGTCTCCCACAAAATATCTGATTGTTGCTACAGCAGATAACCACCCATATTGTAACCGTTGGTCGGTGGGGCTGGCCCAGGTCGGAGTTTTTATCCAGATCCTGGTCCGTCCCAAGTTCGGCTTAGCATTGAATAAACATTTAATATATACCGTATAATATATACATATATTCATCAGATATTGCTAGCATCTGGCACTCCGGTGCTGTGCGTCATATTGCGTTTCTATTTAATACACATTTATTTTTTGTACTGTTGTCTATATTTGAAAAACGTTTATTCGAGCGTATTTTCAGAGGCGAGGCTCTGGATGAGATCTGGGGGAACGGGCTTTAACTTTCCTTGTCGCTCGTCAGATTGATTGCCACATTCGGTATGCCTTTAATTATATTGGAGTCATATTTTTTATCAAACTGCACATTTATAATACAGATGATCGATTATCCTGAATATTCTATATTACTTTTATATTTGTGATATACCTCTATATACAAACATATATATATATATATATCTATATATTTCCATATCGATTTCCAGAAAAGTGCTCCTCTTGTATCTATTCAGTGCTGTATTTGTCGTAAAATGTCGTTTCAAGGTATCATTTCTTGCTATTTAAGCGGTTTAACATTGCCTCCCATATATATACATATATATGTACATTTATATACATTGTTTTGTTGTACTATTTATTGACTAATAACTCCTATTATAAGCGTGGCACTGACCTAGGTGTAGGATACTATCCAATATGAAAGTGGAAAGTTCAATTTGTTCTTAACATACTTTGTGGCAGTTGGAGTCAGTCTGAAAATATTTGGTTATGGGAAGTCGTTCTCTTTTAATTCCAGCAACTGTTCCAGAGACAGAGCCCCCAGATGTGGTAAGTAGGAGACACCTATAAGCCATCTATAAGTTAACTCGTAGAGTTACATAGTTCACTATCTAGTTTCGTTGAGTATTTCCTTTTGGGTCCAATGTCAAGCCGTTTATTTTGCAATCAAATGATATTTTTGAAATTGAAAACATACATTTCCATTTATTTCATTTAAATTAAGAGCTTTGATCTATTTGCAGGACCCATAGAGTGAAAGATAATTCACTTCACATTTTATTATCCACATTGATATTATATTTTTGTGCAGAAATTGTTAAAATGTTATCTTATTTTTTTTTTTTTTTTTGTTAACAAATTTATAGCGTAACCCCGATGCTTTATATATATATTTTTAGAATTTTGAACTAAATCATAACTGACTATCTGTATGTTACAGCCTCATGTTTGCGCCGTATCCTCCAAAATCCACCCTGTCAGTGATCGACATACATATATATTTTTTATGACTACAGTTTTAAACAAATTAGTCTTATTTCGATTACATTTTAAATGTCATAATTATTAAAGTTTTCGAAATAAATCAATCCCTAAAGGACAAATGGAATTATATATTTATTTCTTTGACTTACCTCCGAGCAGGGTTACCTCTAAAAATATCCTTTTTTTTTAATGATTGATCCAGACTCTACTTTAAGATTTGTAGAATTAAGATATCCATTATATAAAGAGCTCATTTGTAGTAGCCATTGCCTTATGGATCGGTTCTCATGACCCTAATCGGTTCTCATATAATATTATGGGCTTAACATCGGCCTTTGGTTCGTCCTCTAGATAGTACCTTTTGAAGGATTTCCACCCAAACCATAAATAAGTTTAAACCGCGTCTTAATTTTTAGCATTTTATTGTGGATACACTGCAATAATTGTTTTTTTTACCCTTTAGTACTTTGCAGCGAAAGTCGAAACAGAACGTCGTAATGCACAGAAAGAGACGATATAGCTTAGTGCCAGTTATTTCGGGCTAAACTATTTTACTTCATTAAGTGATTCGGGAAATTCAACATACATCGAGTTACTTTTATTATTTACGGGGGATCTACTACAAGAAAACTTACATTGAGATGCGGCTTTTAAGATTCTAACTGATTTTTGTTCTTTTCTGTTGCTGTTTGATATCCAGATTTTGTTTACTTCTTTCTTTAAAATTAACATACATCTATTTTACTTGTTTATATCTAATATTTATAATATTTAACCTTTATTTCTTTTTTTTTTTTTTTTTAATTTTCAATCTTCTGTTGATTTTACTCACACTTGGGTGTGAGCGTGTCTCTAGTTGCGTTTATTTGCCGAGAAACCTTCCTATATCCTCAGTTACTAAGGCCCGAGCACTCAAAATAAATAGGGTTCTGGGGTGGGGTGGTGTTAAAGAAATATAGGTTGAAAACTATTATTCTCTGGAGTATCTCTGACTGGGGGCCACTGGCGATCACAAGCTCCGGTTTGGGGTTTTAGGGTGTGTGGCTTGCATCCTTGCCCACAATTTAATTAATTTTTTTTTTTACATTGCCAAAGACGTTTTTGCAATTTTTTTTAAATTTAAAAAGATATCCAGTTTCGTGTTTTTGTACTGCTGCCAGTGTGTGAATTTAGATATATATTTGTAACCTTTCCAAACGTTAATTTTGCTTTGTTTTTTTTTTTTATTATTATTATTTTTTGTGCTTAAATTTAATTACATATTTCCTTCTTGAACGTCAAATGAAAATGCACTAGCTTTGTTTTCTTCGGATTTTTACAAGTTTCTCATGTTTTTTTTTTTCACAAATTTCACACTTTTTGCTGAACTTCAGAGAGTACGTTTTACTTTCAAAATATAGACATTCATGCGTGCATGTGTACTGGTTGGTCAAACAAAATTTTTATATATACAAAGAATATATATTAGAATGGGTAGTCCGCTACCGCCGCTGACATTTTGGTGTAGGTAACTGCAGGTAGCTTTTGGGATTAGGAGTGAAAATCATATACTTATAGGACATCTACAAGAGCTGCTGCTTTCAAAGTTTATCGAACGATGTTCTGTCTTGGCGACCTTCAAAAAGCGGCAAACCACTTTCATTTTGTTTTATTTAGCTTGTCTACCGGACATGGACCCTTCCCCGGCCTCAAACTGCCTCCTTCCCTTGCTTGTTTTATGTTGCGATTAACTGAAAATAAAATTTAATGAAATACTGATCTATTCAGGTGATCATGTAGAGCTTACCGCTTTGACTGTGGCCTTAATAAAGTCTTTCTTTTCTGTTAGATCAAAGTCTGGATATTTCGCGTACACCTGTTTGCACACTGTTTTCATGGTGATCTCTTCGAGATTGGCTTTATCCAGGATTTCTTTTACATAGCCGCGTATTTGTTCGTCCTTTAAAATATAATATATCTTATGTAAGATGCTTTAAAAGTGCTGAAGTGAAATTCTCACCGTTGGGAATGCCAGTTTGCCCTTTTTGGTTAGTGGCTCGTCCTCGTCGGATTCGTCTTTGTCATCGACATCGTCATCCTCTTCCTCGGACGATTCTTTCTTTGATTTCTTGGGTCGACCATCGGCTATAATAATCAAAAAATAAAATAATCAAATTGTTTTCAAAATATTTCATCTAACTGCTTACCTTTTCCAGCTGGTTTAGACTTGTTATTAGGTTTGCTCTTTTTCGCAGGCGTTGTGGGTTTCTTACTCTTCTTGGGGCGTTCCTCCTGGAATGTAAAAGATGGAATAATTTTAGTTTAAGGCTCTTTACTTTGTGTGTGATACCATTACCTCGCTTTGATCGCTGCCGAAATCAGACAGATCCTCCTCATCTTCATCTTCAGAAATATCATCTTCTTCGCTATCGGAATCCTTGCGCCGTCGCGATGCCGCTCCCCGACCTCTGCCCCTTCTTCCAGCTGCTGCCGAGGCTGCTGGCCGTCCACGCTTGCCCGCCGGTCCTCGCTTGCGCTTCGGTACCTAAGGATTATAAGGAGATATTAGAGAATTTATACTTCAAGGGCGTTTCATACACAATCTTACATCACTATCAGCATCCGACAGCTCGGATTCTTCATCCTCTTCCGAATCAGAGTTTCTTCGGCGACTCTTGCGCGCCGGACGACCGCGACTTCCGCGTCCGGAAACTTTACGACCAGCTCCACCACCGCGACCAGCATCAGAGTCTGAATTGGCCGAGGGATTGTACTGCAGGTGGAGAAAGACAATTAGTGGATGGATTACTTTAGAAAAGAAGGTAACCTACATCGGAACCAGATTCGGAGTCATCATTGCGTCTTCTCTTAGGCACCGCTACTTTGTGCTCGCTTTCTCCAGAGCTGGAGAAATCGACATACGCAGACATTTCTAAAGTTTGAAGAAGAAAACCAATTAATTATTTTAAAAATTAGTAACAAATATAAGATCGTACTTTTTCCTGCCGTGGCTCGTTTAGGACGTCCACTGGAATTGCGTGCCGAGCCTCTGCCAGCGGCACCCCCCGACTTGCCGCTCTTGCGCTTCTTTTCCTCCTCACTGGGAGGATCCTCATCATCATCGTCATCGTCGACATCCTCATCCTCGGGATCCTCTTCGTCGTCCTCGTCGCCCTGCTCCAAGCACAGCGACTCATCGGGTTCCATCAGGAATTTGAGCACTCGCAGCACCACCTCGTTCTTGCTGCCCTTGCGATCCAAGGTGAGGATCTCACAGATATTTCGCAAGCCCTTGTTGTCCAGTTTTTTTATTGCATCCAGTTTCTTATTATATTCCGATGTGTCTTTGGCAAACTCGAAGCCGGCAAAAGTACGCAGATTCTTCTTAACCACATTGTTCTTACCCTGAGCACCAAAACAAATCTAAAACGAAACAATCTTCTTAGAAAAATGAATTCCATATTAAATGTTTCTCTACTTACCGCATGCAGAGCTTGCAGCCCATCCACTCTGGTCTTGTTGATGTTCTCATTGATTCGATCGATCTCCGACAGGGCCACCACATTCTCATCGTCTTCGGCCACCTCGTTGTTTTTGTCCAGCCCATCGTTCTCATCCTCTTCATCATCCTCGGCATCTTCATCCTCATCGTCCTTCTCCACTTTGCCATTCTTGGCCTTTACCTCTGGCTTCTTGGCTTTATCCGCTCCCACCTTGGCCTTGCCATCGGCATCCTTTTTCTTGTCGTCCACTTCTGTTTTGGCTTTCTTCTCGCTCTCTTCCTCGGCACCACTGGCCTTATCGTCCTCTTCGTTATCGGGCTCATCACCATCTTCAGTGTTTTCATCCTCCTGTTCGGCATTATCGTCCTTTGCATCCTTTTTGTTGTTGGTTGCTGCCTTCTTTGCTGCCGGAGGTGATTTTTCTTTTTTATCAGCCGCAGCTTTATGGAAGAAATAATATTAAATTAATATTTTATAAAATTTTAAATTTTTTAGTAAAAGAATTATCTTCAACCTTGGGAAGTCCAGTGCCAGTTTTGATTTTTAGCGAAAGGAACATGAATATTGAAGTTTTGTTGTTCCTCGGCATTTACTATGCAAAACCCCATTGGAAAAGGGTTAAGCATGAACAATAGCCAAGGGTAAGGGTAAGGGTTAAGGGAGATAATGATAGGAAAAGAAAACTATTTCAGATTTTTCGGAAATACACTTTTGTAAACATTTCCCGAAGCGGGACTCGAACCACATGCCGCAAATCATAAACAGAGCGTCGCGCTAGCACACTGCGCCACGAAGGTGCCATCAGAACGGTAGAAAATGTCCAATAAGACCCAAGACTCACACACACACATGCAACTCAAGAGCTCCCCAAAGAAAGCCCCCCAAATAGTTTTAGGTAGAGTTGCCAAGTAGATATTTAAAGCATTTAGAAATAGTAACAAAAAAAACATACAACTAAAAAGATTTTAAAAAATAAATAGTGATAGCGCTTTACATTTTTAACCTATTTTTTTTTTTAAACTTTTTTTCTAATTTACTTTTTAACATTTTTTTTTTAAACAAAAAATATTACTTTTGTAGTATAACTATTATCATTACATAATATTACAAATTTCTTATTTAAAAAAAAATTATTTGAATTTTAAATAAAGTGATGACAACACTGTTTCTGAAACGCGCGCAAATTTCATTTTATGATTTTTGTTTTTCTCTCTCGTTCTTCACCAACACACCCACAACTTAGCTTTGATAGTGTGCGGGAGGCTTTTATTTACCTGCATCTGATTCGGGAGCTGGAGCTGCCGCTGCGTCTCCTTTGGTTGGCTCGTCGACGTCACCAGCAGCAGCAGCGGTTGCGGTGGGGGGTGTCACTGCATCGGGTGCCCCCTTTTCGGATTTCGCCTCCTTCTCGACGGCTGCATTTTCTACGGCCTTCGGGTCGCTTGCCTTATCGGCGGCTTTTTTGGTGGCTGCCGTTTCTGCCGTTTTGTTAGCATCCTGGCGTGTGGACATGGAAATATACGAAATCACAACTGTATTACACTTTAAAATTTTTGGCGGCGATTTGGGTTTGTGCGTTTTGCGTTGCGTTTTATTCGGCAAAGAGCTTCTGTATGCGTGTCCGTCGAGCGCAGCCTCTGCGGCACAACGACGCCATGTTTATACACAGAAAAAGAGCGGGGAGAGAATCCACTCGGCGGGCGGAAGATTGTTGCGCCTATTTATACACAAAACACGCTTCCGTTTATGCCGTTTTCACATCCTGCCAACGCGGCGAACTTCTTCGCGATTTTTGAGACACTTCTGAGATTTACATACCATATTTCTAATGGTTTTTCTGTTTTTTCTTCAGCCGACACACATTCAATGGTCACTTGCTTGTGTATGCGTGTCCGATATATGGATATCGATAGGAGTGGAAAATGCAGCATTGCTTATCCAAGTCACAAACCAACATGCAAAATGGAAATTCTTAGAATTCCGGGATCCCTAAAATTTTTTTTTTCAACTCTAGACTTTTAAAATTCTAATTTTATTTGAAAAAAAACCTGGAATATATATTTTTTCAAAGAAAACTTTTATATCACCAATTTTATTCTATCGATAATCACTGATAACTTGTTATGTTATGTCATACGGCAACGCTGTCAGCAAAAATAAGCGCGCGGCGTGTTTTTACAGCCCAAACACAAGATTTCGAGGAACCTTACCAAAAGTGTTAATTGTTTAATTTGTCTAGAGCACAACAGCTGCCATGGGAATTTTGGGCTTATCAAAGCTTATAGCCGATTTGGCTCCACAGGCCATTCGCGAAAGTGAAATCAAAAACTTTTTTGGTAAGAAACTTAACCGCTGAATAAAATTACGTTTTTTAATCCCATCTGTCCTTAATTGTAGGTCGCAAGGTGGCAATTGATGCCAGTATGTGCCTGTATCAGTTTCTGATCGCTGTGCGATCCGAAGGGGCGCAACTGGCCACCGTAAACGGGGATCCCACATCCCACTTGATGGGAATGTTCTACCGGACAATCCGGCTGTTGGATAATGGAATCAAGCCCGTGTATGTTTTTGATGGAAAACCACCAGATCTAAAGTCCGGCGAGCTGGCCAAGCGAGCTGAACGCCGGGAGGAAGCCGAAAAGGCCCTAAAAGCAGCCACTGAGGCTGGCGATGATGCTGAGATTGAAAAGTTCAATCGACGATTGGTGCGCGTGACCAAGGAACACGCCCGCGAAGCCAAGGAGCTGCTCAAACTTATGGGCGTGCCGTATGTGGAGGCTCCTTGCGAGGCAGAGGCGCAGTGTGCGGCTTTGGTAAAAGCTGGAAAAGTATATGCCACAGCTACGGAGGACATGGATGCCCTTACGTTTGGATCCACGAAACTGTTGAGATATCTCACATATAGCGAAGCGCGCAAGATGCCCGTCAAGGAGTTTAGCTACGAGAAGCTCCTCGAGGGTCTGGGCGTCAACAATAGGGAGTTCATCGATCTGTGCATCCTGCTTGGCTGCGATTACTGCGAAAGCATCAAAGGAATCGGCCCGAAGCGAGCCATTGAACTGATAAACAACTACCGGGACATAGAAACGATCCTCGACAACCTCGATACAAGTAAGTATACGGTTCCGGAAAACTGGAACTACAAGATAGCCAGGGAACTGTTCATTGAGCCGGAGGTGGCCAATGCGGAGTCCATCGAACTCAAGTGGACGGAGCCCGACGAGGAGGGCCTGGTGAAGTTCCTCTGCGGCGACAGGCAGTTCAACGAGGATCGAGTACGCAGCGGCGCCAAGAAACTCCTGAAATCGAAGCAGTCTCAGACCCAGGTGCGTTTAGATAGCTTTTTCAAAACCCTACCCAGTACTCCCAATGCCACGAACGCCGCCAAGCGAAAGGCCGAAGAGGCCAAGAAGAGTGCCAACAATAAAAAGGCCAAGACCAGCGGTGGTGGCGGCGGGCGTGGCCGGAGACCAAAATAAAGTTTTCTGGAAAAAACATACAACTTTTTAATATTTATCCTATGCGTATTAAAAGCCTATTTCTACAATTAAAATTACATCTTTGAGCTTAAGACTAATTGGTCTGCTTGTGGGCGTGGGTGAGGTTGGGATGTTGGATTTGGATTTGGATTTAGATTTGAAAATTTGCATTGGAGTTTCTGTGAAATGGGGGGCGGGGGGCTGCGACTACAGCAAATACTGCTTGGCCAGGGCGCGCAGGAATCTTGATTTTCGCACCATGGCGCTCTCTCGTTTAATTTCCTCGTTGTTATTAGCATTCAGCTCCAAGGTGCCCATCATAGATATCTGAAAATCCATTAAATATAATTACTCTGTTTCCCAAAAGATAACCAGGTTTAGATTATTAGCTTACAGCTTCCAGTTTTCGACTATGTTCGCCCCTTTTCGCATGCAGATTGACGATGAACTCCAGCAACGTCGTGTCCCAAATGCAGCTGTAGTAGGCATCCATGGCGTCCGTAAAATTCGAAGACTTCTCGCTGAGATTCTTGAAAACGATGCCGTAGTCGATCTCGTCGAGGAACTGGCACAACACTGTCGCCTGCATGTGACACCCCAGATTGGCAGCGCAGCGGATCATCTTGCGGATTACGTAGTCGTCGGCGACATTCCTTTGCAGCGGCATGGTGCAGTAATCCGTACCGGTGACAAGAGCATTTACGTAACACCTCATGGCTGACTCATTGTTACCGGTGGCCAGGTCCAGATCGCCCTTCATCTTTAGCCAGGAAATCGTTTGGGGGTAGTGTGTCAATGCCTCGGAGAGTAGCCACTGGAGCGTTTCGCAAACGCTTCTCAGGCTGTAGCTTATGGGACTGGAAAAAGGAAGAAAACCGCATTAGCTTGATGGTCCTAGGAGATGGAAGTGCCCAGCCGCTTACTTGTTAATGCTGGTAGGCCAGAGCTGCATGTACTCGCAGCTCAGATCGTGATTGGGGTCGTCCTTGAGGATGTTGTGTATTTTTCCAATCATGGAGATGGATAAACCGAAGACGCTTTGATGTCGGATACGCTGGAGGAAGGCCTGCAAGGAGCTGGTTCCGGCCACACCAGAGGAAGCTCGTTTTGGGACACTGAGGAACATGCTAAGCATGAGGTCCCAGGCATCACGGCACACCTTCTTGGGCCCCTTCATCTTCTCCATTTCGATGAAGGTGGCGGCAAAGGCAACGGGTAGTTCCAGGGCACCCGATCGCTTGTCCAAATATATAAGCGGCGTGAATTCTGTGAGGTTCAACAGCATGATGGCGCAGCTCTCGAGGATGTCCGGTCGGGGAATGATGGAATCACTCAAGCACTGCTTGCATCTCCCGCCAAGCGCCTGGAGGTCCAGGGGCTTCTGGTGCCATTCCTCCAGCGTCTGTGTGACTTGGATGTACAGGATTTCCCACGTGAGCAGTTTGCACATCAACTGAACATTGGCACCCATCTCCTGGCGCTGCGTCTCCGATTTGAGGACACTCAACATGGCAACCGCATCGATGTAGTTGCCTCTCATGGCCAGTTCCCGCGCCTTTCCCAACAACACATAGCTGAAATCCTGAAGGAAGCTAACTGGCATTCCCATGATCAGATTTTTGATGGGTTGGGGTACATCCCAGCTGGGGTTGATTGCCCACAGAGGTCGACCGGGTGCGGTGCCACATAGTTTCACCAGCAGGATCCTCACAGTGTTGGCGTTGGTGCAACTGATTAACTGCTGTTCCAAAGCAGCCACATCCACTCGGGTCACTGTAAGATCAAATGAGCTTTAATTTAAACATCTTTTTTAATGATTTCTTTGTTTCTTACTCTTGGAGTGGCACATCCAGTCGGAAAGCGAGGCGAGGGAGTTCGTCGGCACCGGTGGCGCAGCTTGCAGCATCTGTTCGTCGAGGTCCTGGAGTTCTTCTGGCGAGAATAGACCGATACCCCGCACCGTCTGCAACAGTTGTCGGGATTGCCCGCCCTGGTGAAGCAAGCAGTCGATGAGAAAATGCTTCAACGCTACTTGCTCTTTTAAGCTACAGTGTGGCAGGACCTCCTGCAGACCCTCCACCAGCGGTGGCAGGCAGTCTAGTTCCCGATATTTCTCAAAGTACTCCACGCTCCCGAAAATGCTGCCCCACTCGAAAATATTGCGCACCACGTTCAAGGCGGCGACTTGAAGCTGTAAGTGAGCGGGTTCCTTAAGAATCCCAGACGATATCGAGCCCTCGATGTCTAGTTCCAGTTGCCTTCGGCTCACTAAGGGAATCTCACGAATTTTATTGTCCATTTTCAGGATGGGAACGATATCGGCGTAATTGCTTAGCAACGACTGCTGGAACCGTTCGAGCAGTGTCTGCTGTTGGGCACTGATACCGCAGGCTTGCAACAGTCCCTCCAGTTCCACTGGCTTTATGTGACAAAAATAAAGTGTCGTCTGCGATGGTATGGCCTGGAGATTTGTGTTACACGCGGCGGCTGCTTCTCGGGCCAACACATACTGCTTGGTGAACAGGTAATATTGGGCCAACTCGTAGTGCAACTGGGCTCTCAACTCCTGTGGCGTGATCAGATGCATTAGGTCGTAGTTCTGGCCAGTTCCCAGATCATCGCACTGCAGTGTAACGAAACTGTCGTAGTGGAAAACGTAAAAAGGTTTTCCCGCGCTGCACAACTGTTGCAGATACTCGATCGACGGCTGCGTAGGTGAGTCCAGGAATTGTTGCAGTTGGTCTACAGTTTGATACCTAAAATATAAACAATCCTTAGTAGGTGATCCTTAGTTTTATGGAAATCCCTGTTACATGTTTGGTGGCCGTGGGGTTTTCAGTGCCTGTTCCTTGATCAGTTGCATCCGAAGCAACATGCGGTGGTAGATTGTCAATGCAAATCTGGCTGCCCGTTCATTCCCAGAGGCGGCTAAAAGGTTAATCAAGATTTTATAAATTAGTCCCAATAATTGGGTTATCATTTCCAGCCACACTCACAAGTCTTCATATCAAACTCGCTGGGCAGGGGAATACTCAGGGAACGACCATAGCTAATGGTGCAGAGATCACGCAACAGCGCCAGCTGCATTAACACGGGAAGGCTCTTCTCCAGGGCATCCAGATCCCACCTCAACCATGTGGCCACTTTAAGCTCTAGGATCTTCAAAGCCAACTGTTTTCTGGTCAACTGCAGGCCATTCTCTCCCTGCCGCTGTGTAATGGGAGGAACATTCAAAGCCGCCGAAGCAGCCGGAGATGTGGCGTTGGCTCCCCCAACCACGCCGGGAATCGGTCCAGTTCCGGGACCGGAAAGAGACTGCAAGTCGCTGCCGGGCGTGACAACGGAAGGAGTGGCAGTATCCGGCGTCATACTGATGAACTGCATGATCAGTTCCACTGCACTGGGCTCTGTAAAGGGAATTGGCACTTGAGAGTCTCAGAGTCATAACAGAGAAGCCACAAGTGGAAATGCTTACCCGGCTGGGGGCGCTGCAAGTGCTGGGTGATCTTGTGCGGATCGAGCAGGAACTCGAACCACAGCACCGTCTCGGCGGCCAGGGGCACTGGTTTTGGTTTGAGGGGATCCATTGGCTTAGAGTCGCGGTTGGTTGGAATTTTGTGCAGTGTATTTCTTATTTACAATCAAACTGAATTTAACCAGCAATGTGTTCGCTAAGCGCTGGCATGGCTAACTAAAGGATCCTATGCAGAGGTGCCATGTCTTACCGCATAAATAAGGCTGGCAATGGTCTTTTTTACCGCATAAACGGGCTGGCAAAGTTGTTTTTGTTGTTCGCGGTGTGACCAAGCTAAGTTCAAATTTAATGGGGGTGGATGATCCAACACAACAGTGTTGAAAATAGGACGCTAAGATATAATGGTTAAAAATTGTATACAAGTTTAATATCTATGTTCCTCACAGATGCACAATCTTAAAGTGACATGAGTTAGATACAATTTTTTTAGGGGTCATGGGCCAATCTTGCTGAGAACGTTTTCCAGCACTATTTTTGTGATTATCGATAGTCGATAGCATATTCGATTACTTTGCTCCCCATGGGCACTGCCGGAAACGGATGTGGGGATAAAATATATACTTGTTTGTGGTTTGAATTACTCTATAATATATTTATGTTTTGCTATTATGCTATTATTTGCAGTTTATGGCAATTTTTTTTTAAGTTTCAATAGGTTTGACCTTATTCGACCGACTCATTTATTTAGCCCTTGTTGTATGTTATGAAATTCTAATTTATGTCGCCTTTACACAAAGCAACGATCAAAGTACCTAACCGTTGCATACTGCCCAAGACATTTTTTCCTGTTCATTAAAAATGTAAAACAGCTTGAAAATCTATTCCGGTAATTTATGCAAATATTTATGTTTGTTGAATTTCGATTAAGGGGCTCACTCTCTCCTGTTCTGCATGGTTTCGACGCTTACACTGCTAAAAATGAAAATGAATAAAACGGATGCGTTACATGGTATTCCGTATTTAGTTTTTGCTGGTTTCTCAGTGTACACTAGCGCCTCTAATTTTATTATTGGCTCTTTTTAAGAGCCGTCTGATCGTGAAGTTTATGAGCATTTCTCAGCTCAATAATCTGAATCTTAATAAAATATTTAACGTTCAATCAGGTGATTTTATGCAAATTATATGTTTCCCATTTATACATATGCATGTGAATGTGTGTTTATGGCATTTTTCATCTTCTTATGAAGATTTGTTATTGTGCTGAGATAGGGGGACATGAAGGAGGGCCAGGGCTCGTCAAGGCTTCTAGAAAGCAAATCCAACGGAAAGAAATCATGAAATAAAAATATATTTTATTTCTGGGGTCACAAAGAGCGATAATCTTTTTACTTTGTTGTCTCGCCATTTTCCTATAATTATGCAATAAATTACGCGCTTCTCTAGCAGCACAAAGACTTAATTTTCAAATGCTTCTCCGCATAAGAATTGGTACAAATCTTTTTTAGTTGCCTTATTTTTGTGAAGGCGGGGATGGGGTTCTCTTTTTTTTGGGGGTGGCCCATAAAAACGTCAAATGGGTAAAAGTATTATTCCGATTTTCGTGTTAATATCGTCATA